AGAGAGAGAGAGAGAGAGAGAGAGTGGGAAGTGTTCAATGTTTTCCGGGAGTGAAAGCAGAGTTAGAATTACTTACTCATTTTATTTGAAGATAGAGGAAGCATAGTGACGATACTAGTGAGTCAAAACAAGGTAGGGGTGTTTCACGGCTGCGCCACCTGCACCCACTTGGAATGCGAAGTTGATTTCCAACTGCCTGTGACCTCTTGGTTTACTTAATCCCCACGCTCCCTCGGCGCCTCTCCGAACCACCACCAGTCCTAACCTTTTTCTTTTCTTATTTGAACTCAATTAGTTTTAAGAAGATATCTACACTTGTTATTCCTTTTAAATAGTAGTATAAATTCTGAAGTGTATATATTTTTTTATTAAATTAAATATTTTTAAATAAATAAACATATTTATTATTAAATTAAAATTTTAATTACAATTAGATATAATACTAGTAGACTATTTTTTTTGTTTGTTAAATTGAGTTTGACTTGGAATTTTACATCGCTTTTGAGAAAAATGAGATTTCATAAGTTAATGTTTAAATCACCGCATGAATATATTTATGATATGTTACCTCCGTGACATTAATGATAACTAAGTACAGCAAAAAAAAATCTTGAACATTATTTCGCGCGTCTAATGCACGCTCCTACGTTGACGTTTGAGCATGCATTCAACGTTAAAATCCGAAAAGATCTTCAACAAGGCTCAGCATCCAACGACTCTGGTCAAACCCCAAACACATCTACTCTCCAAACCAACACGGTCAAACTCAAATCCACGTGTCGTTCCCTATCAGTTAATAGTTCTACGCATTGCAGACTTCACTGTATCGAATATGTTGGCAACACACGCGCCACCTTCCTTCATAAAGCCAGTCTTCTTCAGCTTTTCCCTTTCGTTATCTACTCTCTCTGCGTCTCTTTCACCAATCCCATCCACCAAGCTTCTAAGCTTCCGTCCTCGTCGGACCTTATTCCGTGCACTCACCACCATGGCCAGGGCCAAATCCGACTCCACTGGCTATTCATCGCCGGAACACGTCGCCGGGAACTGGTATTCTGTGCCGGACCTCCGACTCCGCGACCACCGATTTATCGTCCCTCTCGATTATAAAGATCGTGAAGCTTCTTCTAAAATCTCCATTTTCGCTCGCGAAGTCGTTGCTGGTAATGTTGCTTCTTCCTTAGGAGATTAAATCAATCAACTTTAATATAACCGTGCTTTTTTTTTTTTTGGAGAATAAACCACTGTTTGATTAATATCTCTTTCACTTTCGTTTGGGTTTCGAAAACGAATGTTGAGAGTGCGAAAGTCAAACTAGCTGATAGTAACTAGCTAACGCTGAATTGGATTTCAGTTGGGAAAGAAGAGCAGCCAATGCCATACCTTTTATACCTGCAAGGTGGGCCTGGTTTTGAGTGCCCTCGACCAACTGAAGGCAGTGGATGGATCCTTAAAGCATGCGAAGAATTTCGTGTTATATTGATGGATCAGGCATGGTTTCTTTGAAAATTCAGTGTTTGGTTTTTTGCTTCGTGTCCTTGATGTTTTTTTCTTTGTCATTTTATTGCAGAGAGGGACAGGTTTATCAACCCCTTTGACTCCATCATCTATGCAGCAAATGAAGTCTGCTCAAAGTCTGGCTGATTACTTGAAACATTTTCGTGCTGACAGTATTGTCAATGATGCTGAATTCATCCGTGTTCATCTTGTTCCTGACGCCAAGCCTTGGACAGTGTTGGGTCAGGTAATACAGTTAATGCTCTATTGTTGATTATTGTGCTTGTGCTGATCACCATGCCATTGTCTTAATCCTTGTTTTCTTGTTTGTGTAGAGTTATGGTGGTTTTTGTGGAGTTACTTATCTGAGTTTTGCACCACAAGGATTGAAACAAGTGCTTTTAACAGGAGGGATACCTCCAATGGGAGATGGATGTACTGCAGATGCTGTATATAGTGCTTGCCTTGGACAGGTTATTCTTCAGAATGAAAAATACTACAAGAGGTTTCCCCAGGATGTTGAAATTGTTCAAGATGTTGTTACCTATTTGGCAGAATCTGAAGGAGGCGGGGTGAGGGTCGTCTTCATTTGATCTTGTTGCTCTACCTAAAGCTAGACTATCTTAATCTTTTTTAAATTTCCTTGTTGTGCAGGTGCATCTTCCTTCTGGGGGAATCTTAACCCCAAGGGGGCTGCAATTTCTTGGTCTATCTGGTTTAGGATCCAGTGCTGGTTTTGAACGCTTGCACTATCTGTAAGACATCACAATTATCCACTTTCTAGTTCCATCCTTTGCAACTTATGATTTGATGTTATTCAGCTGTATCCTTATTTTAGTTTTGATCTTTCAAAAACAACTATAGGTTTGAGAGGGTATGGGATCCTATGTTAGTTCCAGGAGCACCAAAACGGATTAGTTCATACTTTTTGAATGCTGTAAGGAAAAATTGCTGTTTTCTCATTGATCATGAATTGAGGTTTTATCCAATGGATCAATCTTAAGTCATCTTCTGAATGCAGTACGAGAGCTGGTTGGCTTTTGATACAAACCCACTTTATGCTATTCTCCATGAGTCAATATACTGCCAGGTAATTCTCTGTTTTCTAGACTGTTGCTTTTCCAGTATATTGTTGATGGATAGTTTGTAAAGTTGAACAGTACCTCTAAAAGAAGGAAAATAATTTAATAGTATATGTAATTTCTGGTTAAACAATCTTCACCTAGCTAATTCCAAGCAAGCCATTAGGCTCTGATTAAATGGAAAATGCACATGTATTCAGACAAGTTAATACTTGTATAAATTATCATATTTTGAACTTGGTCATTTCTTAATTATATTGTGTTATAAAGGGTGCTTCATCACGGTGGTCTGCTCACAGAGTAAGGGCTGATCATGACAGCAAATTTGATGCAATCAGGGCTGCAAGAGAAGGTCGTCCTGTACTTTTAACAGGGGAGGTAACAATGTTGTGCTTTATGGATGATGACAACCACAAATTTACATCCAAATATTTGAGTCTGTGTGAGAAATATTGGCCAAGTAAAAAGTGTTAGGTTTGTAGTAAAGATCAATAGCTGAAAACAGGTAAAGTGAGCTCAAACTCTGTACTTCTATGAAACCTGCTTACTTCTGCGATTTGGCCTCCTGTAAGTTAAAAATCCAGCAACTTCTCAGAGAAAGTGGATCGAACAATGGGAGATATTAATATAGCTTTTTATCATCTTCATCCTATTTCATGACAGAGTGAGACTTCATTGCATACTTCAACTCCCTCATTTTCCTGACATCCCTATCTTGTGAGGCAATGATCACTGCTTGTACCATTGGCATGTTCATTTAAATAGTTGACCAATTTAAACCTGGCTGGCACATTGGCAGCAATCTTAGTTTTAGAGACTAGCCCTGACATATTGGATGCCCAGAGTTAGTAAGCCAACTAGCTATTAAGTTAAATTTGGTGCAAGTCTTTCCTTTTTGTATATAATGCCAAAAATACAAATTTTTTCTACGTTAATGGATAAGTTAAAATTGCACAACAGACATGGCATCCCCTTACATTTGAAGAACTTGAAAGTGCATTTTCTTGTCTGTAATGTGGACTTTAGGACTTGGTGCTTTTCAGGAGAGAGAGAGAGAGAGAGGGAGTTTCTTAGGCAATTTACTATAGTTTGTGGCCTACAAATCAATTTGTTGTGTCAAGTTCATTGTCTCAGGTCTCTAACATGGTTTTTATCATGAAGTCATGATGTTAAACTGCTAGTTGATGCATATGATTTTAAATTTCTTGCAGATGATATTCCCCTGGATGTTTGATGAAGTTAATGCTTTGAGGCCTTTCAAAGATGCCGCTCATTTATTGGCTGAGAAGGAAGATTGGCCTCCACTGTATGATATCGCTGCATTGAAAAATAACAAGGTGTGAAGATAATAACATCCACAGTTTCCTTTCTGAAAACTTCCTTTGAAATCAAGGTCTAGTGCTTTACTAATTTTCTCAAATGCTAGCAGGTACCTGTAGCAGCTGCTGTATATTATGAGGATATGTACGTTAACATCAAGCTGGTCATGGAAACAGCTTCTCAGATAGCAGGAATTAGGTTGTGGATAACTAATGAATACATGCATTCTGGGCTCCGTGATGGAGGTGGACAAGTTTTTGATCACTTGATGGGGATGCTAAATGGGAAGAAGCCTTTGTTCTGATTTCTCTGTAGAGATAATTTTTCTGCCAAATCAAAAAACAGCTATAGGGAACTCCTCCGACACCCGAAGAATTCACCTGAAGAATTCCAAAAAATGAGGCCTGTGTATATTATGAGCAACCAACTTGTTTCAGCATGGGGCTTGTAACTGCATCTTTATATTGACTGTTTAGTTCCTGTGCCATATTAGCAATAATCCTATTTTTGGATGTAATTTATGAGCTCTGTCTCAAGTTTAAATTTAGTTGCAAAACAAAGTGAATGTCTTCAATTTCTTTGAGACTACTGAATTGGAGTTGTGTAAGGGTATTACTTTGCTGAGCAAATATCTCAAGGCTGACAGCCAAAGTGAAGTTAACCGTTGAACTGGAAGCTATTTATCAGTTTTCAGCTGAGGCTTTCCTACGTGAGGTACAAAATTGTATATCCCCAAAATGGGACTTGCCTGCAAAAGAAAAAAATTTTAAGGGCCAAAAAAGGAAAATATGAGAAAACTGAGAGACCCGGTTAATACGGCCAAAACGACAATAAGGATTAAAAGAAAGAAAGGCAAAAAAAAAAAAAAGAAAAACCCTCGAGCTTCAACTCTCTTACCGCTATTGCCGGTAACAGGTGCGCCACTCATGTCTTCTTCCTCATCATGGCTCTGCAATTTCATTTTAGGGTTTAGGGAGGGTTTTTCCTCATCTCCAGTATTTTAACTCCCTCTTCTACTACGTACGTGTATATATCTACGCCTACGGTCTATTCTTCTTTTTTTCCTATATCTCTCTGAATTGCATTTTCCTTTTTACTTTCTAGATCGAGAATGCGGAGATCGTTAACGGCGCTGGTTCAACCACTCGCGGGAGCGCGTGGGTTCTCCACGAGCTCCGAGAAAGTCGTGGCTTCCGTACTGTTCGAGAGGTTACCAGTCGTTATCCCCAAAATTGATCCTGTGGTTTATGCATTTCAGGAGTTCTCGTAAGTGTTTTTAGTCCTCTGCTCTGCTCTTGGTTTGGCTGCCGAGAAAATGTGGGAAAGTTCATTCTAGCAGCATATCTAGATTTCCATTTTCTAGAAATCGTATTGATTAGCTCATCGATGTAAGGGAGGCACTAATTTTAAACAAAGATGGTTAGAGTAAAATGAAAAAGTCGAAGTATTTACTCAAGACAGAATAATCTTAGCTTATTACTTGAAATTGTTATTCTTTATGTTCCATTTTCCAGCTACTAAATGGGGTTTTAATGAAAAAGGTAAAAGGCTTGGAATTTAGTATGTAATTGGTTTTGTTTTATGCAGCTTCCGATGGAAACAGCAGTATAGACGCAAATATCCTGATGAATTTTTGGACCTGTCTAAATCTAGGTAAGTTTTATTTGAGCTCATATTGGTATGGAATTTACATCAGCTGTATTACATATTATAGCAGGGGTGCTTCATTGTAGGTTTATGCCCTTTTTATCCATATTTAAGCAGTTACTCAATAAAAGTTCTTGATTTGGTGCACGTGCATAAACTTTTTCGTACATCCAAATCAGAAATAACTAGATAAAAAAACATGAAAGCAATTGATTTATCAAAATGAGCTGCATGTCACATGTGATTTAGAGTTCTGAGTTCTCTGAAGAAGTGTCGGGAAAGATGATGTGGAGTATTTTAGACCTAGTTTTTCCAATCTGAGTATAAGAATTGGCTCAAGTTTGATACAAGATGTCTATTTTTGTGCACAGAACTGCAAAATTTGCACATCCATGATTATTCATTTGGTTGTATGTGCCATGCTCTTTCTTCCTCTCTTTGCACCCGTAAGCTATGCATGCATACAACTGCAAAATTTGCACATGCAGAACAAGTGCAAAGTGCAACATAGATGATTTTGGTTCTTAGCTAATGAAGTTAAAAATTTGTATAACCAGAGGAAAAGGTGACTACCAAATTGACTACGTTCCAGCTCCAAGGATCACTGAAGCTGACAAAACAAATGACAGAAAGTAAGTGGTCGATTTTATTTTGTTGGTTGGAGCATCGCTCCCTACCGATCATTCTTTGTTTGATATATGTTTTATAAACAATTATTACCCTCTAGAAAGAAATGGTCTGGAATTAGATCTTAAACTTTTTTTCTCTTCTGTGTAATGATCTGGCTCCCTATTTGTATGTAATAGTTATTAAGAGGAACAATAAAAATCATTCTTGAGAAAGAGTTTACCTATTTAACTATTAAAACTGCCTCCTGTTGGGGGTTGTGGAATAGAGAATGAAATTGGTACATTTGAACCATTATTAATACAATATTCTGATCATGAAAATTTTGAACTTTGTATTTGTCAAGGTCATTGCAGCGAGCACTTGATAGAAGACTGTATCTTGTTCTATATGGGAACTTTCATGGAGCTCCTAGTGGGAAGCCTGTCTGGCATTTTCCAGAAAAAGTTTATGATTCAGAGGAGACATTGCGCAAGGTAATTGTTGTTTTTTCTACTTATTCCCCTCTTCTTATTGCTTTGTTATTCCCATTCAATACCAAATATTTGCAGTGTGCGGAGTCTGCCTTAAAATCTGTGATCGGAGACCTTTCTAATACTTACTTCGTTGGAAATGCTCCAATGGGGCACATGGCTATACAGCAGACAGAGAACGTACCTGAACCTTATAAGGTATTTTGACTGAAACAGTTAACATATTCATGTAATGCTTGCTAGCCCTTCCAATCAATGCCTATCTCATATTGATGACAGACATGCATTTCAATGGGAGTTCCTTCTAGCATATGTTATTTCCTAATTTATGTTTTTCCTTCTGTCAGAGATTCTTCTTCAAGTCTCAAGTGATTGACACCAACAAGTTTAATATTGGGAAGTGCGAGGATTTTGTCTGGGTGACCAAGGATGAGCTGTTGGAGTTTTTTCCTGAACAAGCCGAATTTTTTAAGAAGATGATCATCAGCTGATGGCAAATTGCTCCATACAATCTTTCTTATAACTTATTTTGTGGCTTGATTGTAATTTTACCTGTAGAGAATGAATCTTTGGCAGTCTACATCAGAAAGTCCTACCTGACATAAGACAGTAGAACGTCTGGACATGAAATCAGTTGGGGAAAATAACGAAGCTCATTGGTTCAGGATGGTTTCAAATAGTGCAATACTTGAATTTCTTTTGTTGGGGACTGTAGATGCATGAAATTTGTTGTTCTCTAATCACTTCGCTTTTATTATTTTCCCCCATTTTTCTGCTGCAATCATGGTTGCATCATCTGTATGTCCTTGTTGTCTACCCGTTGGGTTTTTCATAGATTTCTCGTGATAACCTACCCAAGTAACATTGGGTTTATATGTTGCGATGATTGGCTGAACAATTGTTTCTCTACCTTCCAGGATAGTGGGTAAATGTGGTTATGCGGATGACTGGATCCCATATCGGTCCTTTAACTAGAGCATTGAGAAAATGGTACTTTGGCAAGCAATGTAGGAAGTCTGGCGGGTGACCTAATCAGGACTCTCCCTCATAGTCACGGGCACGTGGACTGACTTCAATTTAATCAGGAACTTGGGCCTAATCAAACTCGTTGAGTTATGCTCTCAAAAAGCCCACTTAATGGCCTAGGCTGAACTTGGACACAATCATTGCCCATGGATAAGAAATGGAATCTCAAGGGATTGAGCAAAAGCCATGGTTTCTTCCAAAGTGGGCGGCAGGCTAGTGGCTTCACGCTTGTTTTGACATGTCCAAATTCTTTGTAGAAGAACTAATTCGCTTCTCTATTTACAAATGACCTTGTTATGGTACCTTTAAGATGAAGATGGTGCAATGAACAGTTTTGTTAGAGAAAAACGAAACTCCGGGGATGTAATCACCTTGTAGACTTTCAATTGTAAAGGAAAAAGGACTCTAGTTTTTCTTGCAGTATTGGTTGGTAAACAGTACAATTTAGAACAAACATACCTTTGTAGCAGTTTAAACATGTGTCCTAAAGAAATGATCTTTTAAGCTAGCATGGAAAGAGAAAAAAGAAATTAATGTAACTCATATGGCATATGCATACTTTGGTGATAACGATGCATGTTGGTCACGTCTCCTATTACTTGAAGGGCAGTTGAACAGAAGTAGGTGAGATGTTGTTGGCTTTCACCAAGGGTGCAAGAGAAGGGAATGGAGACCTAGTCTCCTCTCAAACTCCATCGAACTCCCTCTCTGGATCTCTTGTGGGGCAGTCCAACCTCTTCCACCTTCCACAACTTTCTTCTTCCTTTTAAGCTTTGTTTCTCAATCATTCTCAGTTCCTCTCTCCATATTCTCTCCGTGGAGCCCTCAGATTAATTAACCTTCAGACCATGGATGGCCAAGAAAGTAACCAAGCTCCAGTCCCACCGCCTGCGCCGCCCTTATTTTCAGGACCCTTTAACTCTCCTTTCCTCTTTGCTGCACCCTCTCTTCCATCCTCCTCCTCCTCCTCCTCGCTGCACCCTCCTTTAGAAACTCAAATTCTCCCCGATATTGATTGGGTTAGCCTCCTTTCTGGTCAAGGTGTGCTCGGTGAGAACAAGCCAATCATTGAAAGTGCTGCTTCTTTGATGGCTGAAAATGGAGCTGATCAAGATGAGAAAGGCAACAAGGATAAGAGGAAAGGTAGTAGGATCAAAAAGACAAGCCGGCCTAGGTTTGCGTTCCAAACGAGGAGTGCTGATGATATTTTGGACGATGGCTACAGGTGGAGAAAGTATGGGCAGAAAGCTGTGAAGAACAGCAATTATCCAAGGTTTGCTAATCATCAATAGAAAATCAATGTTGTTTCTCTTATATACGTTGCATGGCATGTTTATTTATAGCTCGATATTCTTAACTTTTGATGCTTAATTTTTAATGTAAATTTGCATAGAATATTCAATCATTATTAATTCAATTCCCTCAACCCATGTAACTACAATATCAACTTATGTTTTGTTTGTATGAACCCAATATAAAGTTCACCATTTCTTTTAGTTAACTATGCAATAAGAAAATTGTAATTATTAGTATTTCGTGGATAACATAGATACTTCTTGGTCCTTACCACTTATTAATTGTCGTTAAACCTAATTATCCTCGTATTAATATGATAACCTAGCTTAGTTATAAGTTATTGCACTATAAGGCAGCATAAGTAATTAATTCCTTTGAATACCTTCTTAACACTCAATTTTATGTGAAGCAAAAAATGGGTTGAAAAACCTAACCAGGGATAACCTTTGTCATTTTTTTGGAAAAGTGCTGATACAAGTCTTTAGCCACAATCGGTAGGCAAAAAGACTTGTTTCAGTATAATTAACTTCACTTTCTCTAAAATAATTAATACATTGTATCAACTCATCCATTGTTCACACTCCCTATCAATCATTTTTCTGATTTATTGAACCTTCTTTATATAGGAAGTCGTAATCATAAGACATAAAGCCTAGCCGAGGATAATTAAGGCTAGGATATACATATAAAGAACAAGACAAGAACAAGATATATATTTATGTTTTTCTTTTTGCTACTAGTCATAGTACTAGTATTAATTTGGGTTTTGAGAATGATACACCGAAAACGTTAATTTGGAATTAAGCTTCTGAATTAGCTTTCTTCAGATAAAAAGTTTCTGAATGGCCAATTCAGCCCCAAACCCATGCATGCAGTAACATACACATAGTACTATATTCATCCTTTTAATTATACAAGAAAATCATATGTTGTAATTACAAATCTGTGATAATTTCTTATATATATGCTCTTTTTCAGCATTAATTATGCTATATATGTTAGGAAATTTATTTAAAATGATTCTCTTTCTTTTTTTGTCAATTGATTAAGGAGCTATTACCGGTGCACGCATCACACATGCAATGTGAAGAAACAGGTCCAAAGGCTCTCCAAGGACACCAGCATCGTCGTGACAACATACGAAGGAATTCACAACCATCCTTGTGAAAAGCTAATGGAAACCCTAACTCCTCTTCTCAAGCAAATGCAATTCCTATCTAGGTTCTAACTTCATTAATCAGCTTATATAGATGCATTAACAGGTTCAGGAACAAATCAAGAAGCCTTTCTGTTCTTGGCATATATACATATTCTATACTTTCCTTTTCCTTTTCTTATTTTTACTTGCATGTAAAATGTCGGATGCGTTAATGGATAAAAATCGATGTTAATATCATAAATAAACTTTTGTTCTTGTTTTATGTTTCTTTTCACTCTAATTAGTGTTTCTTGATTAATCCCATTTTAATATTTAATGTTTATACCAAATTACCGATCTATGCTTTGTTGATTTCATTTAATTTCTGAACAATTTTAGGGTTGGTATGGTGGAAAACCAAAGGGTATACCTTCTAGAACTAGGGAAAAAAGCACACAGCCCCTGCGTAAGTCAGTGCGTTGCCTGATCATTTCCAAGATAATTTGAGCTTGGGATTCATACTAGCAACTTAAAATTTTTTCATTTAATAATATAAATTCCACACATAAATTATAAGGTGATATTTCAAACTCGAATGAAACATCATAAGAGTTAGTATCATGAAGCATATATAAACTGATATACAGGTAATTTGGAAATGGTTCTTGATATCATCAAGCAAGCATTCCTAGAGTTAGAATAATAAAGATCTTATTATAAAAGCGAAACAGGAGAGAGAAAGAAGAGAAGACGTTGATGCTTACAATTTTAGAAAAAATTAGCAACTAAAAAAAACCTGTTAATTTTCTATATATGTGACTGATAAGTGACAGTATTCAAGACTTAACGGTGCATTTTGCAAAGTTCATACGTGTGTGGTGATATTAGGTTCCATAGATTCACCCCCAAGCAAGATAAGATGAGTTTGCATGCACTTGTGCACGTGATATATGGTTGCAAATTAAAGTTTACCCAAAAATTTTAATTTATTTGCTCTTAATGCTACCATTAGATAATTAAACTTTATAAAAGACCCTTTTCCTAACTCTAAGTGAAGCATGAATTGCATTAAAATATTTGACATGAAAAATTGAATATTTATGGGAAATATGGCCCCTTCATGTATTCTTTGTGTGATTCACGTCGACGAAAATAGTCATATACATAGCTGGTCAAAAGAGGAATCCTTCATAAAAGCAGCATGAAAAATTGGAAAACGGTTGGAAGACGCCACATCTCAATTCCCACATGTATAGCACCAAAGTAAACAGGGTGGGGGAGCATGAGAAAAGAAGCTTAATTTGAGACAATGGCAGCACGATAAAAAAGAATTGCATCATTCTCTTTGCCGATTGTCCCACAGTTTGCCGAGTTTCCTTTTCAATTGTAAGTGATTTGGGAATCCAGCAACTATCCATGGAGGTTAGCTTCTACTTCAATTCTTCTTTTTGGTTGTTTATATCTTCCTTTTGCTTACTATTATAACTCAACCTCAGCCTGAAAACATCATGATTCTATCATTCCAAAAGGAAATTGGGAATCTCATTTTCATAAATCTATGGAAAATTCGAGCATCTAAGCTGAAGAAACGACACCATTTTATAAGATGTTAGTAGGTCCACATCAATTGCATTTGTGACTTTTTTTTTTCTTTCTACTTCGAAATTACATCAAATTGTGTTACGAAAACTTTTCTTTTTAGTACTATTAGTAATTGGGATTAGGAAAGCTTGAAACGTGGAAAGGGCTCTTGAATTTGAAATTCTTAATGGTTACTCAATTTTCTATATATGTAAAGTGAATTGGTAATGATAAAGGACGGACTCGATGAACCAAAAGCACAGATCTCCTTCCACGGAAAACCCACGACCTCTACACGTGTATTCTTGCGTGTTTCCATCAAAATGGACCCACTAAGCAAATCTCAGTTACACGTGGCACGAACCCAGATGCCCTTTTTCCTCTATAAAGCCAAAACCTTGGAAGCTCACGTCCACACCTCGCTAGGACATCGGACCATCAAAAGCCCCGGAAATCTTAAAATCTTGAGTTTTTTCACGGAATGTCGCAGTTGTTGGACAAGGCGAAGAACTTTGTGGCGGAGAAGGTGGCCAACATAAAGAAGCCAGAGGCTAGCGTTACGGACGTTGATCTGAAACATGTGACCCGTGAGTGTGTCGAATATAACGCTAAAGTCTCTGTCAGCAACCCCTATAGCCAACCTCTCCCCATTTGTCAGATCTCTTACACTCTCAAAAGTGCTGGCAGGTTTGATCCCCCTTGCTTCCTCTCATTATCATCAATCTTCTGTTTTTTCTTTATCTCTATTCCTCTTAGTTCTGCAAAGATTTGACAAATTTTGGTGGAATTTAGATGGATCTGTTCATACTGATTTTGGGTTCACACATAATTTTTTTTCAAAGAAAATTGGGAAAGGAAAAGGATAAAAAATTATTTATTAATATTGAAGAATGACAGAAGGCATATAAGCCCTTTCTTTTCAGCAAGAATAAGATTCCTTTTTCATTTTTTTTCTTTGTTTGGAATATTAATGACCTTTAGAAACTAAAAGGCAACAATCGTTGCAATTATTAGTAGAAATTGTGCACTCAAAGATTCTCCCTTGTGTGAATATGCTCAGATTACAAATAATGTTCGAATAATGAATGGCATTTGTTTCTGTAGTTATTGATTATTTGTATGTGCATCTTGGGACAGGGCGATTGCATCAGGGACAATACCAGACCCGGGTTCACTGAAGGCCAACGACACGACGATGCTGGACCTGCCGGTGAAGGTGCCATATAACATATTGATAAGCCTGGCAAGGGACATCGGTGCAGACTGGGACATTGATTATGAATTGGAGGTGGGACTCACCATTGATCTTCCTCTCATTGGAGACATCACCATCCCTCTCTCTCAGAAAGGAGAGATCAAGCTTCCTACTCTCAAAGACATATTTTAAATCATGTTTTCGAGCGTTTTGCTCACCTTCCTTTTCTTGAATCTCTGGTTATGATGGAACTTCAAATGAAGTATATGTCACAAATTATTATGCTCTTGAATATCTTTTGTCTTACTACTGATCAAAATAGTAGTCAATCTCCAAATTTGCTAATCTTCTTATTTTTCATGAATCAGGATAGTTTATGGATTAAGATTCAATTTAGCTTTGACCACAAAAAGAAAGAGAAACCCAACTTTCCACTGCATTTAATTAGATCCAAATATATCTAAATGCATAGGTGTTAGCCACTTCTTAGAGTGTGCATGGCCTATGTATGGGCTTCCTGTCTCAGATGGGACCATGTGATCACTTCCCTCAACCGAAGAACGACTGTGTTGTAGCATCAATATCATCAATGGACTGGCCAAAGCTGTGCCAGCCTTGTCCAAGGCGGTCCTCCATAACTTACATTAACAATCTGTTGCAGAAGTTATGCTGGTGAGCAAACTAATAGAATAAATGACAACATTAATTCTGAAGCAACCCAAAAAGTAAAAGGCTCTGAATTTTTTTGGGAAGGAGATGTAAAAACTACCCGTTGGGCTAGCTGTCCATGTCAGATAAATAAAGAAGTTATGTATTCTGTAATATGATGAGCAGCAAACCGATCCTATAAATGACAGTTACCACTTCTTCATGCACTCAGGTGCTTCACTTGCCAGCCATGGCTAGAGATAGAAACTGCCATCCTAGGTGGGTGACTACTATACACTGCCTTGTGCAAATGGATATATTTTTAATTTTTTTCCAGCAAGAACTCTTTTTTGAAAGAAAAGCTGAATTAGGCAGCTGGGAGCACTCTGTAATGCATCAAGTTTATCGTCAAAATGAATATAGACATTCACAGAACATCCGGCAACAGGGGATGTAGCTCAGATGGTAGAGCGCTCGCTTAGCATGCGAGAGGTACGGGGATCGATACCCCGCATCTCCAATTTTTTGTGTTTGCTATGAGTCAAGCTTGCTCTAAAATTTTTTTAACAATTTTTTAAAAGGCAATAGATCTCTGTATTGAATTCTGTCAGTTATATATTTAATTTATGTACGATAATTGTACTATAAAGCTTAGAGTGATAACAGATGTAGTACTATTTCTATAACTAGCTAGCATTATCCTCTTATGGTCCTAAAATGTTCTCAAATGGAAATGAAATTAACCAACCAGTCCCTTATGGCCAGTTTGTAAGCTATAAGCAGCAGCCCTTGATGGTTTGCGTTTGCTATTATAAGCTATTTTTCTCAAAGGAGAATGTGGTTCGGAGCAAAGTTTCATAATTTTAAGCTATAAAAGCAGTTTTTGGTAGGGCGAAGGGAGAACATTTTCACCTTATTCTCTCCCATCAGTCCCAACACTCAGCAGGGTCTAAAAGTGTAAGGATCTGCTACTTGAATTGGCAAATTCCAATTCAAAGATTATATTAGCATTGGGAGAGTTTCAAATTGTATTAAAACATGAAACTAAACAAAATTTTAAGTATATAGCAGAATGGACACGAATATATTCAAACAATTTGTCGAGTCTAGCTGTTAGTTCGGAAGGCGAAACAGTCAGAAGAATCGTGCCTTTCTTTACTGCTCAAATATCCTGTCCAAGTAGTGTACCCTTGTCATTACCTTACCAACGTTTTGCTGAGGATGGGTGACTCAGGCCTCTATTTTGTGTCTGGACATTACCATGTACAGGTCTTGTGTTTGGAGGTTTGTGGTCGTTATGCATTCGACTAGATGCATAAAGACATCAAACCCCCTTGTTTGTACTGGCCAGGTGGCCTTTAACGATAACTAGCTTATCAAAAAAAAAATTCTGTGGCAAAATTTTGGAAACGTTTCCTCGCTTCTCACTGGTTGCTTAATTTCTCAAAACTCCAACCATATCGTATTGGCATCTCTCTGGTGACCTACGCCATTCATGTTTCTCTGTATAGATGAAAATTTAATTTCTAAAACTATAAGCAGGGATACAGCCTGCTAAAATAGAGAAAAGTTTCCTTAGGATAGAACTACACTAGTTGTTTTATTTTTATTTTTTCCAAAGGAAACAGAAAGAAAGAAATAAGGAGAATGGCTGCTAAGGAGATAGGCCAATTTCTAGTTACATCCTTCAACTAACGAAATAGAGACATGAATTTAGAAGTAGCTATCCGTTGTCTGACGAGGTTTATCAACAACGTAAAATTGCATTTTGCGGGGGTACTATTGCTGCAATGCTGCTCTTGAACCAGAAAATTCCAGGTGGTGTTTGAAGTATGTGCTGCTCTTCTCCTACATCTTACTTAATGCTTGAATAAACTCATTCCTTTGGTGGCTATAAGGGTCGTGATGAGCTGCTCTTCTCTGAAAATTGGGTCTCGCTGTCGTTGTAAGTAGTTCCTTTGTTGACTAAATTAGCTTCCTTAAGCTCGCCGTGTTCAGGGATACTGTGTTGCTTGCCAGTTTCCTCTGTTGCAATTATGCCTTAGCTTAGCTTGTATACTTAACACTAGCTTTCTTTTGAAAGCTAGGCTTGAATCAAACTGTTACATATCAACCTTTTTTTGGTTCAGTAACTTGCATTGTGACACTTCACACTTGAGACAAATTTCTGACTACTAATCTAACAAAGAAACAAGGGAAAATCTGGTCCAATTTTTTAACCCAAAACCCGACCCGACCTCGCTGGAGTTTTGGACTTTGGACTTTGCACTTTGGGGGTAGTTGGGCTGGATTCATGCTTAATTTTGACAATTTGGAATGATCAAATCTAGAAGAATAAAGACTTGAACATTCAAAGAAAAAGATTATTCTTGGCAGTTTGCTAGCCGAAGTTGTGCACTTGGTGTCTATTTGACTGTTTGGTGAATAGTAAAAGGGGTTAGAAAGTTTTGCTTGTACCTTTATGTGTAAAATTTATTTCCTTTGATGATCAATTTAGATAAAATTTTCCATCTAGAAGCTTTGATTAGGAAAATTTGGTAATTGGCCAAGTCAAAAATTAGTATTCTCAAAGGCTGCTTTCCGAAAGTGTCTTAATATTGCATATGCTTTACCTAAAATCAATCATGACAATCATGAATTACCCCTCTTCAAATTACAACTATTGCCAGTCTTCCATTCTTGGAAATTCACTAATCTTAATTCTAGCAAATTGTCTATTTAACTTCTATTTGTGTTCAATGATTTGCATCACAAACAATATTATAATTTGAAACTTCTTACTCAGATATTTTATGAATTAATTACATGTGAACCTACTTTAGTTGACAAATTGATTTCGAGGTGTGGTATATTTATGATAATCGATAAAAGAATTGGAGGAAAAAAAGAATGTTGATTGATCCACTAACTAATTCATTTATTGGGGGAAAGAAAGTGTGGCTAGTGCATCACTTAAAATTTAAGTATGATGTGATGTTGATCTATTTGTCAATGCCATGGAATTATGTCAGTTGAATTCCAAAACTTTATTCGTTAGTCTTATCAGGGCAGGCAGTGGGAAGGCACTTAGCACTAACATTGAATCTTGCAATTGACCCCCAAAAATTGATGAATCAATTCATTTTTTAATCGTGACTAAATCTGAAAAGTGTGAATCCATTTAACATCAACAACGCAAGAACAAAAAAAAAGAGGGGCGCTCCAAGTCAACATTGAGCAGCTTGAAATCTTGGGGTGGTAACGCAAACAAAAATCTAATCAAATGATGTGAATTGAAACCAAGACAAAAGTCCACACATTAACTTCCACTCGAAGAACTTAAAGATTATAAAACCACAAATGGGATCCCTCCGAAGCCACCCTTTCCTCCACTGATCATCCTCCCTTTAGTTTTCTTTCCCAACCTTTAGCCATGGTGGATAGGGATCAGGTGAGGCCTCTAGCACCGGCTTCGGACCTCCCAAGCAGCGACGATGGAGAGGCTGCTTTGCAGTTGAAAAAAGTTAAACGGAAAAAATGCATCAAATGTTGCGGTTGCGTTGCAGCTCTAATGATCATCCAAGCTGTTGTGATCATAATCTTAGTTTTCACTGTGTTTCGAGTCAAGGACCCAGTCATCAAAATGAACGGTGTCGCAGTTACACACCTGGAGCTAATCAACGGTACAACTCCTAAGCCGGGCTCCAACATCTCCTTGATAGCCGATGTTTCGGTCAAAAATCCTAACGTAGCATCGTTCAAGTATAAGAACACCACCACAACTCTTTACTACTATGGCACAATCGTTGGGGAGGCTCGAGGCCCACCGGGTCGTGCCAAGGCCCGCCGGACCATGCGCATGAATATCTCAGTTGATATCATCACGGATCGGCTCTTGGCCAGCCCAAATTTGGTTGCCGATGTGAGCTCTGGGACTTTGACTATGAGCAGCTACTCAAGAATTGGAGGAAGGGTCAATATGTTAAATATTATAAAGAAGCATGTTACTGTAAAGATGAACTGTTCCATGACAGTTAACATCTCCAGCCAGGCAATTCAAGAACAGAAGTGCAAGCGAAAGGTTGACCTCTAGGCTTTAGGGTATGTTTCCTGTTGCCTTGACCGCCGTGTATGTGTATATACAAACCCATATATACAAACCAATGTGATAGAGTACTATATAGTTACATGAACATGTGGTATGATTATAGTTTATCTTGTAGAAGCTACATTTGTATTGGGGTTTTGGTTTAATTTAACAGGAAATCTTTTGGGGTTGGGTCTTAGACTTCCTTGTACAATCGACTTTTTTGCTTGTTTGATACAAGGTTTGATCAATTCAACAGCAAATGGACATCTTGAGATGAAAAGAGGCCTTTAATTATAATGGACGGGTTTAAATTTTTGTCTTGATTGGAATTGAGGAGGCCAGAGAGCAGCATCCGGACTGCAAGTGCAATGGATACCTTGTCCAGTTATGCTGACTAATATACCTTCTAAAAGAATTGCCCCGTCCCTTGAACACTGGTTCCCAGGGAAACACACAAAGGCCAGGCGGGACCGCCATTGTACTTCACCCAAATGCCTTTAATTGTATCCAACTTATTTTAAAAAAATGGGTCGGATCTGTATTCTCGACAACTCTGTTTCAGTCTTTTGGCATTGAATCCCTGAATAATTGAACCGCTATTGATAATTTGACCTAGCCATAGGCCAGAGCGCATTCAGATGACTTTCTTTCAAAACAACAGAAAAGGGGGAGGGGACATTGTTTTGTTTTGTTTAAAGGAGATGTGATGATGAGTAGATTGCTCAAGTAATCCTAGTCCAGTGTAGGCATCTTTAACAAAAAGAACTTGCTTAATACTAGTCTGTACAACTACTGTTATTTTCTGGCCTAACGTTGCCATCATGGGTTTAAGTTGTTTTCAATATGCATCGGATGGTGGGAAGCTGCCGAATTCTAGTAAAATAAAGATGAAAAACCCATAGAATTCCACTCCTTGGATTCATGTGAATTTTGACTGAATTAGAGTAATATTATGAGTATGAAAAGGTAGTCTTAAAGTATTCGGGACTGCAACAAAAGTGGGAGCAAGGAGCTTTGCTTTAGCCTTTAAAGAAGCATCAGACCATGGCTTAAAAAGAATATATATAAGCATCAGATTTCAATCTTGCTGTCGTCGGGCTCCATCAGTTTGTTGATATGTTATGCTTTTTTCATACAATCAAACCAATTTTGGGGGGACTAAAGTCGTCTAATATTTTTCTTTTCTTATCAATTAATGGTGATTTAGCTCTCTTCAATGGGTCAAGATCTAGTATCCCTTCACTACAAAGAAAGAAAAGAATTCACCAGCTTTGACTCCCCCAAAAAAGTACCAATAAACACTGACTGCAGAACCATAAATTCAATGTACATTAAACATTACACAACCTGTTTAAGTGGAGCCTCTGTATTTGAGGGCTCAGCTAATAAAACTTTTAAGGCAAATGGTTAGAGAACAGCTGGTGCTGCCGTTGCTGCAAGCGCGATTGGCAAGAAGTCCAGCCTATGCTGTCAGACCACAAAGCAAAAAATTATTCATTTATTTGTTGTTTTCAGTTTGTGGTCCATTAGAGTTTAGTGCTTTTTGTCTATTAATGCATAGATAGATGGTAGATAACTTGTGTAAAAGAAGCAATTTCTAATGTGTCCTGTCATCTACACTTGTCTTTGTTGATATGGATATGAAGAACCTCCCAGTTTTCACCCCTTCTTTTTTTGTTATGAATTATCTTTCCACTAAAAAAGATCATGATAGAGTGTGCCAAATTGCAGAAGAAAAAGTATCTGGTTCCCACCGAAAAGTAAAGAGCCATGTAGAAAAAGCAAGGAAAACAAGGAATGACAATATAGTATGAAGTTGACTAAAGCAGGGTAGAGCAAGCATTCAGAAGGAAAAACACTTATATCTCCATCATGGTTCACTTTTCTCTCTTCTTCCATCATGTCAGATATAATTTTCAAGCAGCAAACATATCAAATTTAGGTGAAAAATTTAGATCGTACAACTTTTCTTTAAAATTGATTTAGACCAAAAAATGGACCTAATATCCCATTTTGTTATATACCTAGTATAGATGCCACGAAATTTGTTGGTTTTCACATGGATATGCATGTGGAACCCCAATCCTCAAGGAACTCCAGTCATCTGGTACAAAACCAATGAATATGATATTACCATGTCAACTACCTGCTAAGAGAGCTACAAATTATGTAGGAGGTAGGGAAATGCTGTGGGGCTTTGGGTGATTTAACTTTTATCAGCAAGATCTTTCTCTGATCTTTCCCAGATGAAGAACCATATCAGTAGAAAACAAGAGAAGTTTTTACAAAATAAAGAATGTTGTTGCATTTAGTAACTGTAATTTTTATATCAAGAAAGAACAAAGCTGAGCAGCTTTTGGGAGTTGGGACCAATTCCTGGATTGCAGCAAGTTGCTCCCATCCCAATTCTTGGAAATTTCTGTTGCATCATATTTCAGAAAAGAATATATCCCCACTTCTAAAATGTTTTATATTGGCTTTGGTCTCATAGAATACTTTTCAGTTTGAAATTTCAATCCACTGCTCCTTTTGTTTCTGTGTTTGAGAATACAAACAGAGAAAATCACTTCTTTGAATCCGAAAGCAAGAAAACCATTCTTTGCTCTTTGGTTTCCAATATTTCGCTGTGTATTCATTTTAAATTAATTTAAAAAGCAATTGAAAACCAATGTTCCTTTTAGAAAGCCCTAGTTCCAAGCTGACGCAAGCCCATGAACAAATAAGCCCAAAGCTCCACTTTCTTTCACTCACACAAATCACAGAGGAAAGAAATCAAGTTAGCAAAAGCCACCAACACCACAATAAATGCCACCCGCTGTTTCCAAACTGAGTATTAAATGCAGCAGCTGGAACATCATCTACCCACCCTCTCTTCCCTAACCTTTCCTTTCTCTTACCCTTTCCCTTCCCCCCAACAAATGGATCCTCCTCTTCCCCCCAAATGTCCACCCCTGCCCCTTCTTCCCCTAACTATCTCACCAACTTAGGCCTCGGCTACTCCATCGCCATCGCCCTCGGCTTCCTCGTTCTCCTCTCCACCATCCTCCTCGCCTCCTACATCTGCTGCCGCTCTTCCTCTTCCCTACGCGCCTTCTCTCCCAACCCCACCACCGCCGTCGCCGCCTCCAACTCCGATGGAATCATCCTCCCCAGGATTATTTTCGTTGCCGAAGATGAAGATAATGAAAGCGTCGTTGTTGGACTTGACCAAGCCGTTATAAATTCTTACCCCAAGTTCCAGTTTAGTAAAGAGGCGGCTGCTGCGAATTCTACTAATGTAAACACGACATGCTCGATTTGTTTGTGTGAGTATAGGGATTTGGAGATGTTAAGGATGATGCCCGAGTGTAGGCATTATTTCCATGTTTCTTGTATTGATGCTTGGTTGAAACTTAATGGGTCTTGTCCCATTTGTCGGAACTCGCCACTTCCAACTCCTCTTTCTACGCCCTTGTCGGAAGTCGTACCTTTGTCTCAGTACGCTGCGGATCGAAGGAGGAGGAGGTGACTTTTGGGGGGCCTTCTTCTTTTCCTTTATTAAATACTTTAGTTTTGGTGGATGATTTCTTTCCTTTTCTTATTTGGGGTATGTTCTGGGGTGTTTTAGAGGGGTGGGGGGATTTGTATAGTATTTTTTTTCCTTTTTCTTTTGGCATTTTTTGGGGTTAGGTAGGGAACAGGGAAATTGGGTAGTGGAGTTTTTGGCTCACTGGATTGTTGTTTTGGTTGTTTAGGGAAAAAAAGAGAGCATTAGGTGCTTTGTGCTGAGCAAGAATTGGGTGATAAGAAGTTGATTCACATCAATTGAGAGTTCTTTTTAATCATGGAATTTGTTTCATAAATTATATTCTCCAAACTTACGTGTGAAATGCATAATTTGCACCCTTTTTTGTTTTGTCTTGTTTATTTCATCGTGACATTGACTGTGATCTGCTCAGTCTCCCCTGTCCAATTGTTGACAAGAATGAATCTCAGTTCATTTTCCCAATTCTGTTATATTGAAGCACTGGTACAGATTCAGATGGACCTCTTCCTCGCAGTTTCTACACCTTTCTTTTCTTGCTTTTTCTTTTTCATGTACATCGCTATTCATCAAGCTCTCAGTTTCTGCTTGGGTTTCTGCATATAGACGGTAGAGAAGCTTCTGTTGCTTTGCAGAACTCTCTCCTGTCTTTTCTTTGGTAGTGTTGATTATATTCCTTCTTTCATTCTTTTTAAATGTTACCATCTTAGTTGTCACTTGTTAGCTAAGTCTCCTCCTGGAGTAACAGCCTAAAATGATTATTGAACATAAAGCTGTCTGCCTGGAAAAGCAGAGACCCAACAAAGGAAACTAAAGATAGCCTCTGTTATTCTCCAAAACTTCCAGTTTCAGATTGTTAGTACTGGGTTCCCACGCTGAGAAAGAACGGAAAAACCTAAACTAACCTAAGAATACGACTTTAATATTTTTGGGTTTTGAACTGCGGCAAATTCATGGGGTGATACTGTACAAATTGGAAAGATATTTTATGCTTGTGTTAACGCGAGTATTGGGTGTTGACTCCTGAATTTGAAGGCTCTCGAATCTCAAATGGCCTCAAATTATCCTAGTCATTGAGGTTAGCCTTGCTTGTTCTTTGACATTTTTGGTCACTCTTTCCTCGTGATGAGAAAGATTATTATATTAATTTGATTAAAACTATTTTGCTGAATCCTAGGGCAAAATATTGCAAAGTTTTCAAGCAAGTGGGAGACTTTAATAAGTTGAATTTTGGATCTAGGAGGATTTTAACACCTTCATACAATCCTTTCTCTGTCCGGACTTGGTACTACGGAGCCATAGCAAGTGTTTCCTCATTCGCCAGATTCATCTTTACAGAAAGATGCGTAAATTGCACGAGATTGGAAGTTACTATCTGAACTTGGAGATTGATGTTCAATAACGTGGGATCGGCATGTGAGTGTTAGGACAGAATGATCTAAACTCTCGGGGGCCGTTGACTAGCTATTGCTGCGTTGTTCATTGCCTCCCTAGAAGCTCAAACCCCAACGAAAATTTAAAATAGAAGCCATGTGCCCCAAGCTCAAAACCTTCGATCTCGCCTTCTTCAACTCTTATCCCAAGTAAAATACTTGGCCTTGGTCAAATGCACCTTCATTTTCAGGTTTCAGGAATTCTCTAATGTCGTTTACTTTGCTTTTCATCTTTTTCAATTGGCATAATTGCTTCTACAGTAAGCATTTTCTGATTTCTTGCTGTGACGACTCCGTTGGTCCCTTTTATTTGTTAGATTTCATTGCAACTGGAGATGATACTTCTCAGTCTCAACAAAATAAAGATGCCAAAGGTAAATGGCCTCGGGAAGTTGGGAATATGGAAAAGTGTTCACAGGACTATCTTTATACTGGGTACTTGTGCTCTTCTCGTTTCTGTTGCTACCTTGTCTAGATCTTACTCTATTAGATCTCTCCTTGTTACTGATTCCTTCTGCAATCATGTAATCCCTGAGAATCCAAGTAGAGGTGAAAGTGAAGTGAGTGTAAATGTTGGGGTTGTTGTTCAAAAAATCCGACGAGAACTGAATGAGTTGAGAGACTTGTCAAAAGAGTCGTCATCATCAGAAATTTTGCTCAGACACAGTGCTTTTCTTGCTGATATTCTTGGTCTACTTGAGTCGGTTCAGGCATCTTTGACATCAACTAGACAGCAGAACATTGAAAACAAGGGCGTCCATCCCCTGGTTAAACCGAGTCAACAATCTGATGAGCCTGCGGACTACTTTCTGATTGAAGAGATTCGGAAGTATGTCAGGATCAAGCCAAACAGATTAGGAAAACAGAACTTCATGGGAGCTAATGGCACATTCACAAGTATTGGTCACGCTTGCTTTGCCATGAAGAGAGAGGTTGAAGAGTACATGGATTATGATGTTGGTGAAATCTGCAATGACGATTGGAAACTAGCTCAGAAACTAATGGTTCATGGTTGCGATCCATTACCAAGAAGGAGGTGCTTTGCAAGAGCCCCACAGCTATACATCCAGCCATACCGCATAACCGAGTCCATGTGGAAGCTTCCTGATGATCGCAATGTTCGATGGAGTGGATACAGATGCAAGAACTTCACTTGTCTGGCAAACAATACTACTCGGAAGGGATTCTTCAAATGTGCAGATTGCTTTAATCTTTCAGACCATGAGATGCCCAGATGGATTAAACCAGTGGAAGTAGACCCTGAAACAAACTTGACAGCAGATTTTTTGATACCTGAAGTGCTGGATATCAAGCCTGGGGAGATTAGAATTGGTTTGGATTTCAGTGTAGGAACCGGCACTTTTGCAGCTAGGATGAGGGAGTTCAATGTCACGATAGTTACAGCAACAATCAACCTCGGGGCTCCTTTTAATGAGATGATAGCTCTTCGAGGTCTAGTCCCTCTTTATTTGACTATAAATCAGCGCCTCCCGTTCTTCGACAACACCCTGGATTTGATACATACGACGAGATTTCTTGACGGTTGGATTGATTTGGTACTCCTTGACTTTGTGTTGTTTGACTGGGATAGAGTTTTGAGACCAGGAGGTTTGCTCTGGATTGACAGTTTTTTCTGTTTGAAAGAAGACCTGGAAGACTACTTGGAAGCCTTCAAGGTGCTAAGGTATAGAAAACACAAATGGGTTGTTGTTCCAAAGCGAGATAAAGATGATCGAGAGGTGTTCTTTTCTGCTGCACTTGAGAAGCCGCCAAGGCCATTCCGATGAGCGTATACATTGAAGTAATATACTGTTCTGTTCATTATACATATCTATATAGCCATGTGGTTCATCATAGTTTTCATTTTAGGATCCAGGCAGAAGTTTCTATCCAGAAGTGAAAATTTTTTGTTTCTTGTCATGAGGTTTATAGCCGCCAATCTAGAAGTACTAAGTAATTTCTGAATTCTGGTAGAGTAGAAGACATTCTGGTCTCTGCTATATTAGTTTGTATTGAGCATTGCTGCACCTTTATACTAAAAGCCTGGAGAGGTGTAAATTTCCGTACAAATTGATAAACAATTAATCCATCGAGAAGAAGAAGGCATATGATTGAGCTATGAAGCATCTCAGTTTTCGTTAGGGTCTTGCCGATTGTGACTGTGGGTATTGAGAGTGATTTTTGGACATCCAATGGCCCAAAGCTTTTAAAAATGGAGTCGGCCCACCGAAACAGATGATGGAGAACCATCCATGGAACTACTAAACTAATTGTTTTCGACAGGAGACCATTCATTATTTCGGACGTGAATCAACCATATTTCCATCCTGAGCCCCCAGCTTGTCAGAAGAATCGCCCTTTTCCCATCCCAAAGCCTCCAAGGATTACAACAATGTCAATATGTGATCCAAATTCCGATTTGACTAATGAATGACCTACTCTCAAATGCCAGTCCATTCTGGATGCCGTATATTGCCAATTTCGTTTTTGATTCTCTAATGTGTTTTCAAAATACGAAGATGTAATCTAATACTTTCAATTGATTTGCACATAACTCTGTTTTTTTTTTTAAGTAGAGGATACTTGAATATATGTACTTATATTCATTTTTACTTGAGCTTAATCTAAGATTAAAAGAAAATATATTAATATTTAAATATTTAATTCATTAATTGATATATATTTCTTATTTTAATAATAAAATAAAAAATGTTATTAAAAAAAATAATACTATAAGGTTCAACTACCTCATAAATGTGGGTTTTGTAGTTTCTAAATTGAGTTTAAATCTCATAAAATATTGATAAATGAAAAAGAATTCTATTGATTTAAAAAAATAGAAAAGGAAATTATAAAAGTGGAAAAGCATAACCCTTCAGTTTAAACTAAAGTGTAGCCTACTGATGGTAACCCGAGGCGACCACTGAAAAGAGATAGCCGTCCATACCACCTATCATCCCATTAAATCATTGCCACGTGTCCTATTTCGGTGAGCTTTTCAAAACACCGCACCGTCCCTTCACTGCCTCCACGTTCCCTTTATTAGAATCCAATTTCTGGACCCCCCACCACGTAACCCCGTCAGATCTAACGCCGTCATCTTTTTAGATTTCAAATTCTCTCCGAACCACCAGGTTCGGCTCCAAACATTAGGCTCGGCCTCGAACTCATCTCATCTGCGCCTATATATCCCCATCATAAAACCCTACGCACAGTCACACTCACTCCGATGCTTTTTGGGACACCGTAACAATCGGAGACAGATAATCCTTTTGTTTAGGGTATTGGTTCGTGTTTATTTTTTTGAAATGGCGGAGGAGTCGGTGATGGAGAAGATCAGCGGGAAGATTCACAGCCATGATTCATCATCGTCTTCGGATTCGGATTCGGATAATGAGAAACCGGCTTCCCCTTCCTCCGTTAAGGCTAAGATTTATCGGTTGTTTGGAAGAGAGAGACCCGTTCACCATGTTCTTGGTGGTGGAAAACGTACGAACTTCGAACTCTCATTTCACTTTTTCTTTTTCTTTTCTTTTATGAGATCAGGCGTTTATGTTTTTAATTTATTTTGTTTGTAGATTTGATGGAAATGTGAGTAGAAGATATAATGCAGTTACTCTTACAATGATGAAAAAGATAACTTTGATGGAAGATTAATGGATTGATCTGTATCTTATGCTTTATGATCTGTTTGGTAGCAAGAAAGTTCATGGCTTGAGTCCCCTTTTCTGGATTTATTGATTCTTCTTTTCATTCGTGAAAATATGAAAGTGAATCTTCAAATTTTCATTTCTCTTTAAAAACTCGTTGCTACTTTGCTTAAGAATCAAGCTATTAAAAGCACCTTGAAACTTTAATATTTGGGGTCTTTTTCTGTTTCCTTTCACTTTTTGCATTCTGGGGAATAGAAAAAAGCATAACATTTTCGAATTTGGCGATATAAAAGTCAAATGATCTACTAATCTAAGCACATTAGTGTATAGGGAACAGTGAAAAGCAAAAAAAAAAAGTCCTGTCTTTTCTGGTTGTAGATCACTGATTCTGGTTAGTGTTAGATGCTGATGGTTGTCTCATTCCATTTTATTTTGTTGGTGATGATTTGGTGCAGCTGCTGATGTGTTCTTGTGGAGGAACAAGAAGATTTCAGCTGGCGTGCTTGGTGGAGCAACCGCAATCTGGGTCCTTTTTGAATTGATTGAATACCACCTACTTACTCTAGTCTGTCACATATCCATTCTCTCTCTTGCACTTATGTTCCTGTGGTCCAATGCCCATACCTTTATCCACAAGTAAGTTTTGGAGTCTCTGCAGGAGGTTTAGTTTAATTGGTTATTAATTGAAAGATGTTGTATGATTTCTTAAAGACTATACCCTGACCCTTTGTCTTTATAGATCTCCACCTCGCATCCCAGAAGTTATTTGCCAGAGGAGCCATTCCTCCAAGTTGCTGCTGCCCTGACTTTTGAACTTAACCAGGCATTGAAGCTGCTGCGAGATATTGCATCTGGAAGAAATTTGAAGAAGTTTCTTACGGTGGGTGTTTATCTTATGTCTATGGTGATTTTATGAATGATTCATCTTGAGTTTCACTTTGATTGGGAGAATCACTTATATTTCCACCAATTGAAAGAACGCCATCCATGTTTTGGATTTCAGGTTATAGCTGCTTTCTGGGTCCTGTCAATTGTGGGGAGTTGGTGCAACTTCTTGACCTTGTTCTACATATGTAATGACACTCTTCACTTGTTTTTAGTGCTAATTTATTTTTTATATAATGCCGTGCTGAATTTTTATTAATCTTTTATATGGAAATCAGCTTTTGTGTTGCTGTATACGGTGCCTGTTTTGTATGAGAAGTATGAGGACAAGGTTGACCCATTTGCAGAGAAGGCAATGATTGAGATCAAAAAGCAATATGCAGTTTTTGATGCCAAGGTTCTAAGTAAAATTCCCAAAGGTCCCCTGAAGACCAAGAAGGTTTAGAAGGCTCAGATGTTTAGTCTGCAGCAACATTTGGGTAGTTCTGGTGTTTCCAGAGTGTGGTTTTGTTCTCTGTTAACATTAGCTAGAGGTATTTCTTCCTCAAATCAACTGTTCACAAATGTTTTGGTTTGCAATTCAAAATATCATCAGTAAAGGCAATCATTGTTAGCAATAGGCGAAGCTTGCAGATACCATAAGGTGATGATTTTATTATATAACTTTGTTTCATTTGGATAGCAATCAGCCTTTTATATATATGGTTGCCGCCTGATTTTGTGCTGTTATAGCATGTGTTATTTCCTGATTATTATGGTTTTGGGGATGTTTTATGTTTCCTGATACATTCATCTGTTTGAGCAAAAAGATAAATTTCGCAGTCTTTGGGAAATGGTCGTCATAATGATTTCCAGTTGCTTAAACCTGTGTAATATTGGGATTGGATTTGCCATGGCAGTTCTATTTGGAGCCCTGCTTTCTTTTGTACTTGGAAAAAAATAGATCGATGCACTTTAAATGCAATGCCTGGAGATTTTCTTTCCCAGAATGATGGGTAGCTTTCTTGCTTGGTAAATATAGAAGAGTCATCTTCCTCTTCTTGGGCTTGTAACCAAAATATAATTACATGCTCCAATGCAAGTTTTGTGCAAATAAGGGTTTATTTCTTGCACCTAAGTGATGAACAATAGATCCTGTGCAGTATCTTTTGCCAAAGTGAGCAGAGGTTAAAGAAATCAGAAGAGTACGCAAAATGAAAATAGAAATGACAAAAGCGAGATTTCATTTATTGCCATCAACCAGTTTATCGGTCACCCAAAATAGAAATATGTTGGGCATATAAGCAAGAAACAATGAACAATGGAAGGATTTCTTCTCATTTCAAGTATGAAAGAATTGATCGGAGTGAATTTCATCATGGCTACAACATCAACAAAGATACTATACCTTTGAATAATTACATCATCAAAGAAACTCTTTTCAGTATTTTGGGAGTAGTCTTGATAGACGAGAACTACTCTCTGATGACGTGAGAGGAACAGTTGAGAATTCAGAATCGGAATGTTCAAATTGCCGAAAATTTCCTTGTGAGGGTACGGGGCCTGAGTTCTGGCTTGGAGAGAAACTAGACCTAGAGAATCCAGAACCAGCGGTTGTAGTCCTTCGGTCAGGCACAGATGGACTAGTTCCAGCAGCATCTGGACTTCTTCCATGAGGGTTTTCCTTGGATCTACTAGCATCTTCTGCAGACTCCCTCTTTTCTCTCTCTTCAGTTTCCTTGAGCAGAAAATCAACCCACAGATCTGCAATAGACTGAGGAGAAAAAACATGCTTGAGACTCAGATTTTTACTTGTCCTGATTCTAAGCAGAGGTTAGATAGAAAAATGGAAAACCCTATTCTAAAGATGGAAAATTGAGGTGGAGCTACATTGATGGTCAGAGCTGAGCTACATTTACGGTTTGGAACATTGGCATTTTCAGTGAATTGAGTTCAAGTAAGGTTTTACCCTCTCTAATTCTTCACTTTGGCCTCTCCCAAGTTCTAGATTCTGGTACCATCACTGTATTAAAGAGACAAGAGACTGTCTTCTAACGGACAACAAGATGTATAACAGTTTACGTGAACAGAAAGCTTTGTATTTATTATTCCATCCTTTCCCAATTCCTTTGCTTGGGGAAACATGCAATTTACAACCACATATTGCCAATACTTGCAAGCTAAATTCCAGGCTTAGTTGCAAAATTCTCTAAAGAAAAGCAAAATTAAGATTGCTAGAGGTTGTAATCTGTTAAGCAGTATGAACATTAGGTGACTGTGAAACATAAGAGTACCTCCAAAAAGTGGAAAACATAAATGTTAAGAAGGGAGAGAAAAGGTGGGAGCATTGCGGTTTACAAGGGACGACAGATTGCCGGCACTAACAGACATGCCCACTCCAGACACCAAAATAAAATTAATTAATTTGGGGTAACCTTGATACCATGTGACTTGCATGTCATAGATAGTGACAAATGCAATGGGTTTCAGATCCTACTAGTTGATTCATTAGGTCCTAATGCTATACATTGAAATGTGCTCTGAAGCATTACATGTAAAGAAAAACCAAATTTCATCTACTTCTTCAGAAAAGATCAGGGCAGCTAAATAAGAAATATGATTTGTGCAGAGAATTGAACCAGATGTTTTCTGAACAAGGTGAAAAAGGTTACCTGGTTATCGGAAGCCATATTTGCATGTACATCAGTGGAACTTCCGCCCAATATGCCACCAACCAAACGACCAGGTAGACGCAACACCCCGAACAACACCTTTACCGGCACCTTGTTGAGCAACGCCTATCCTCTGCTTATCTTCATCTGAGAACCCCAGCATCCGAACCATAAGATCAAACCTAGAATTCATATGAATATTTGTAAGGTGCAGGAGACGGCATCTATTTTAACCCAGAAGCAATTCTTATTCCAGCATCAGGAGTGCACTTGAGGTCAGTGCAGCAAATATTGTACGCTATCCTACTGTGTTTGATCATCAAGTACTAGTACACAAATGGATATGAGTAGAGAAGATTCATTTTCTACTTTTTGTTACTCAACATACCTCTTTGCTGTGGTTTCTCTGGAAGTAGGTCACAAGTAGTTTGATCACAATACGCCTGCCAGAAAATTAAGTAGGATTATTAACATTCTAATTGTTCAAAGAACATAAACACTAAATGAAGAACAGCAGTTTCAAACTCTCAATAATCAATGACACAAAAATCACATTAGAAAAATAAAAGAAAAGAATGTAATTAATCAAACATATCCAAGTGGCAGAAGAAGTTGGCATCAGTAAACAGCAGTGATCCTGGTTAAGCTGGTTTTGAAGACCAACTGTTGCAGCAATGATAAATCTCAGTTCTGAAAATTCACCCCACCCTTCATGGCCCAAAGTACTGCATGAGGTTGACCTTCATTGAAGGCTTATTTTTCTTTGAAAGTAGACTATTTTATTGATAAAGAAATTTCTTTAAGATAGCATAGCATGCTATTTAATTTAATGCAGATGATGCTCCCACTACCAAAAGGGGTTTCATATGTCCATCAAGAGAAAAGAAAGCTTCCATCCCAAACATCAAAGAAGAAAAGAAAACAGATAGCAAATATTCATATGCATACATCCAGTTCTAATATGTAGACAATCCCTCATAGTAAGACTGTTATTCAATACTTAAACAGGCTAACCTGTCAACAAGATAATCAGAGTCCATAGACATTCTGTTAAGCCTTGTCATGCTCTGCTCAAGAGCACGCCTTAGTTTTCCATTGTCTTCCTCAAGCTTGTTGACTCTGGCTTTCCCTTTTGCCAGCATTCTTTCAGTTTCTGAAAGCTTCACCAGAATTTCTTCCTTTTCCCTCTTTAATAACTCTGCACGTTCGTCTGCATCCTGGAGAATGCAAAGATGATCAGAAAGGAAAAGCAGGGAAAAGCTCTTTGACCTTGAGACACATGCTTTTCCACATTAGAACTCAGGAAAGAAAGTAAATATCTAATATAAAATAAAACTCATAAGTAAGCCCATTTTTGAGTGAATCCATAAATGTCAAAAAGAAGCAATTAACACGGATGAAAGAATAACCTACCTAATCTTCAAAAAAAAAAAAAAGAATAGCCTACCTAAGATAAACAAATCTTGGAATAATTCCATATTATTTTCACCATATTAAATTTCTTCTCAGCCATATTTTCCAAAATCCACAAATGGTTGGTTTGATTTTGCAAATTTGGACCTTTAAACTCAAAAGTTCTACTTAGCATTGTTCAAAGTTAAAATACATATTCCACTGATTTTGAACTGCACGCTTGCTTTCATGTCTGAAAAAACTATTACAATATTTTTGATAAGTTTCCAGCTCCACATGCCAACTCAAAATACCTACATAAAACTCAGTAGTTCACTTTATAGATAGATTTCAATCCACTCATCACTTTATAGTTCACAAATCTCGGCCCATGGTTAAGCTGAAAAATGTGTGATTTCCTAAAAACAAAATTGAATAAGTAATAATACTGAAATAAGCCCTCAAACTTTACCAAAAATAGAAATAAGCCTAGATCTTTTATTACATAGAATTAACGTTACGAACTTCTATTTTACTGAAATAAGAACTTTGACATCATGGAATATTCCATATTCCATTAAAATCTTCTTGGATGAGCTGGATGATAAATCTTGAGGGAATGCTATTTAAATAACTATGGCAATTGGACTTTACTCACTCATTTTCAGATTTGATGGGTATATTTATAATGAAATAAAAGTTCATAGTCTTAGTTCGATGCAATAAAAGATTGAGTGCTTATTTCCATTTTTCTGTAAAGTTTGAAAGCTTATTTAGGTGTTATACCAATTCCATAAAGAACTAGGAAGGGGATTTTAACTTTGAGGGGTCCATGCCTTCAGATGCCAACCACTTCATGATCATTCCTTCCTGGACCCTGCTCAGGGCTGGCAAAGGTTAATAGCTTCTATGGAGCATAATGATGACAGCATTGGCAAAGTAGCACATTGCAAACAATTGGACGTGGAATCACAGCCCACTCTGGAAAAGATTGCACAAGTGATTCCTTGTCATAAAGTTTCAAGTTATATAAAGATGTAACCCCTTCCTGAACCTTATTTACATTTTCTCATATAAACCACATCCCTAAACTTTGTATGCAACTACGGTTGCATGGTAATATGGAGAAACTCAGACACAGAAAAAAGTTACATAAGTAAAATCTCTCCATTCAAAAACACTTAAAAATAATCCTATTAAAAATAAGACATGCATTTAGTTGTAGAGACCCACAAATTTTCCATCCACTGAATAAAAAAGCACAATGAGAAAGCATATATGATCAAGTAAAGGAGGGAGGACCATACTTTCAGAAGACCAGAAAGTTTAGCTGATTCCTCTCTTGCCAGGGCCAAATCTCGCTCCAAATGTTCCTATGATAAAATAATATAAGCATTAAAAGACTAAAGTTCTATTTGGGCCAACTCTTTTGAGAAAGTTGCTACATACACGATACTAAAAATTTACTTACCTTAGCTTCAATTTCAGCATAGTACTGACCAAGTGCAGTTTGAAGATTTAGAAGTTCAACATTTTTTAGATCTACTGTTCTTATACAGTTTGCAAGTTTCTGATTCAGATCATCAGTGATTTCCTTTGACTTCTGAATTTCATTGTTGTTCATCATCTTAACTTCCTCCTGATTGGCCATCGCCAGCTTCAGGGCTTTCTCTAAATGTGCAATTTGAGCTCTTTGATATTCGTTGCTCTCATGAAGTTCTTCAATAATTTTGGTATCTTCATCCATTTTTTCCGATTCTTCAGATTCCTAGAAAATATTGCAGCAAGGAAAACCATCTTCAATTTTGACTGCAGAAATTATAAGAAATTATATTTACTTATAACATACAGGATTGAGAATCCTCATAGAATCTAGCACAGGAAACGGAAAGTTGAATATGGTCCTAAAGAAAGCTTAAAGTCAGGCAACTACGCTACTATCATTTTTTCTCATAGTGGCATGTAGCAAACATACTCAGCCACATAAATCTGTTGCAGAATATAACATCAACATGGTAGCTATAAAATGAAGACTAGAATCTTTAACATAGAAAAATCAGGTGTCAGAATTCTTGTTTTCTAGTTTTCCCCCCATTGCTGAATTTGGTACAGTAACAAGGTAGAGCATGCAAAGATCAAAGACTCTACTAAGTGATTGTAATATCAATTGCTCAAGAAGAACAACATATGCTCTATACTAAACAATTTGACAGCTGCCATTACAATTGAAACTTGAAGATGAATAAGGTCAAATTTTCACCAAAAATTCCATAAAATTTCAGGGACCTGCAACCTTTTCTAACAAATGCTGCTTAAGACGAGTCAATTCTTGCAAAGCCTTATCCCTTTCACGGCATGTTTCCTTCAGATCATCTTCCAATTTCTGCAATGATAATTCCATTTCTTTCTTTCCGGGAAAACTTCCTGAGGAATCTATATCCTGGAGCAAAGAAGATACTTATGAAAAAATTGATAAAATCGAACACACACCACTTTAAAGTTACTTAGAAAGAAAATGACTCTTTCCACAACATACACACACAAAATAACAACAATAACCAATTTCTACATGAATCAATTTTGCCAATGTGACACAGGCAGGCACATGCACACCAAAACCAACTAAAAACAAAAGAAACCAGCATGGTATACAGCCCACTCAAGCAACTTGAACATTACCAGAGTCTCTGTAGCATCGGGATGAATCTTGCCAGTTAAAGATTTCCTGCTAATTTCCAGAGCAGCCTCCAGTTCATTCTTCTCTTTCTATGAAAGGATATAAATGGAAGTGAATTCAGGATATTAAATATAAAAGAGCAACATATTTTTTCATCCCTCGATGATACCGTTTTTTAAATGGCAACAAATTTAACAGGCACGCACGTATCTACCTTTAGATGAGTGTTTTCCTTCTCCAAGGTGGCAATCACCCTTTTCAAATTCTCCAGTGTATCATCTGCACTATCATTCTCCTGTCTATTCAACTCCATTTGCAAACGTCTTATTTCTATTATTTTTGCATTCAATTCATTGCGTATTTTGCTCAACTCTGTGACGCTCTGTCAATGCTAAATAGAGTAAGAATATTTGACAATAAAACTCACAAATGCAAGAAAAATAAAGAGAAGAGCTTATACATGATTATTTAGGTATGGAACAGATGAAGAACCCAAAATGGCATTTTAACTTACATGGATCAAAATGATTTTCTACCTTCCCAAATACTATTCAAATGAAGAACACAATCACATAAAGTAACAACCACTAATGAACTAATAAATTAGTAGACATGTCTTGAGCAAAAAAAAAATAGTAGACATGTAACAACCACCCCGTAAAACATCCATAAAAGCATACTAATTCAAGGAACACCCTAATACCAGGACTGAAGCTAAAAATACAGAAACAGAAGTACAGCAACATGATTATACTATTGGAAACATGCTAATGCCAGGAAGCAATACAAAGCACATAAAACTCATCATCAGTCTCATTGATAATTAAATGTACACGCCTATGAGAACTACCTGAATGGGTGAAAATAAAATGATCTAATTCAACATTACTAAAAATAACCATTAGGTTTTTATCCAAAGGAGAAAAAAATTAAGGTTAAAAGTTACTTTATACAGCCAAATCGATGATAACATCTATCAACTCAAACCAATTCAGAAGCTTACTTTACCCTTGTCTGATTTCAGTAACTTAAGCTCCTCCTGGAAAGACTCATTTAACTTGCGCTCCTCTGAAAATTTTTATATAAAAAGAAAAAGAAAAGATGAGATGAGCTTTCCTTTGTTTGACAATGGGATGGGTAACATTCCAAGTATCATAATTGGGTCTTCAAGGTGTACAAACATACCATGTAATCTGATCTGTACATTAGCTAATTTATCACGTTCTTTCTCAAGTTCCATATTGAATTGCTTTATTTGTGATTTGTGACTAGCTTGAACTGCCTCCAGGGACCTATTTTTCTCTTCCAGCAGATCTGCAAGCTCCTAGAAGGCATTCATAAATCTTTCTGTCAAGTTCACTCATTAAGTAAACAAACATATAGAAGTACGGTGGAATAAGTTTTCATAATGGAATATATTGGACAAAATCAATACAAAAGGGTGTATCATCCCCTAAAAAGAGGGGAATAAATAAAAATGCAGAAGGGTGGGGACGCATGCACCAGGTATACACGAATTATATCCAAACAGCCTAATCATGCCACCTATTACAATAAAAACAGTTCAACTACCTTTTCTTTCTCATCGTGTTTAGAGGTAAGACCATTGGACATTTGGTTTCCAGCATAACGATTTTTTACTAGACTTGTTGATTTATGCTGTCGGTTAGGTGACTGATCACTACTTCCCTGCATAAATTTCCAAAGTACATCAGCCAATAACCAATTTTAACATAGAGACGTGCACATTAAGGTAGCCTGTTACTTCTGACTTGGTGGCAGCAGAATCATAATTCAAGACAAACTCTATGCAACAACATATGAAGTGAAAGGCAATGCATGTTCCAGTACAACAATAACAAGAAAGTCCAACAATTAGTATCATGTATGTCACTAAATTGAGCAACCAGACTATCCAAGTACTCTAGCCAACTCGTTTCATAAAAGTATAAATGTCAAGACCAGAAAGTTATAAGAAGTAAACAACCAATTTCTCATTCTAAGACAAAGACCTCATCTCTATAATTATTCAAGTTTTTATGGATGTCTACATCTTGGGAAGTTGCCAAAGGTATGAAACCATAATAACATGAAATCATTTATCTAAATGCATCTGCTTCGTGCAAAATAATTACAGCACAAACAACATCAGAAACAGCACACAATTTGTTAGCTTAAAAGTGAATTATTACACGAAACTACAGATGACTTAGTATTGAAGAACCTATTGCATTAATTCCACAACTTCTCAATAAACCATTAAATCTCAGATGACAACTCTAACAGAGACTCTAGAAACTACCTTGAGTGCATTAATTCCATTACTTGATACTTTGGAACTTTCACTCCTAGCTGCACTCAGAGCTGCATTTGTCACATTCAAATTTTGTTTCAACGAGCCATTCTCTTGGTTCAGTCTGGAAATTTGCTCCTGGAAAATGGGATGTTAGATGAGTAGTGAGAAAGAACATTAAGCCAGTAGACAATGTAAAATCTAAAGCTAAGTAATAATGAGAAGAAACACAAACGATAACACATCAATACTTCTATCAGACCTAAAATCATTCAGATGCAAAAATTTAATAATAAAACGCCTCTGAGATTAGCAAACCTGGCAGCATATCACATGACTTCAAGAAGCAATCATGATTCATAAAAATTGGGATACTGGGCATGATATTGGATGTAACACATAATCTGACACTTCATAATCCTCTCCAGCTAACATCCCAGAACTTTGGAGTTTGGATGTCCCCATAAAAAATATAATTTAGCTGAAGGTCTGATTTAAGTGATAAGCACAAGTATTTGCAAGAAAAACAACCAATCTAACATCAATAAGTATAAACTATTTATGCCCATCCTGTGGCTTTCAACTTAAAGTTATCAAACAAGCAAAGGATCAACATGTGACGTTTCTGAAACCCAATTCTTAAAAAGCCATGTAAGTTAAAATCAGTATGAACTATGTAGTAGAATTAGTAATTAAAACTTTTGAAAAAATGAAACAGGTAAAACAAGAACACAATTAAAAATGCAACAACTTCTCAGGATGTATCACAAAGGAAAACTGCCACATTCACTATTTATTAATTTTATATGGCTCCCATTAATCCAAACATCCCTCCTTGGCGTTATGTAGTACTAACTGATAAATTAATATTTTAATGCAATTTTAAAAATTATTAACCATTTAAGCATGAAGTGCAGTACCATAAGTCAAGTATTTGTTAAATTTAAATGTAAAATTGTTGATAAATCAAAATGCTTCCTTACAATCAGTAATGCATCATGATACCCAAATATGATAATTGAATAACGATTTCAACTATTTGCATTATTATTGTCTATAAGATTTGAATTTTAGACCAATCCCAGACATTCACTAAAAGAACTACAATCACATCATGCCTTATTGCCATCTTAGATATCAATAGTCATAATTATAACTACTTAAGTTGGCTCAAGGCATTTATACCAATCCATAGCAAAAACAAAATAAATCAAACAATACATAAAAAATGAAACAACCATCAGGTACCTCTTTTTCTTTTAACAAAGCAGCATAATTGACTGATAAAGCCTTAATTTCTGCCTCGGATTCCTGAAGCTTCTTAATTTCTGCTCTGTATCTTTCAATCTACAAAAAAATAATGATAAGACAGTTTAGTTATCATGCATGAAGGCTGGAATACCCCAACTGCACCAGAAATGCCATACCAACTAGTAAAGTAGCATCCCTGTTGTTAAACAGGCAAAAATCGTGCCTACAATTGACTCAGTCAAAAGTCAGTCAGAGTTCACTGTGGACACCAAAGGAGGCACTTGGCAGGACCAAAAATTGGTTAAGTTTCAATCCCAAACCGCTTACTCTTCAAATATTATATAGACCATAGTACAAAGCTCAATTATATTCATCACTCAAATATGAAAATTACAAAACTAAAAAAGATTAAACCTGGTTACTTGGGTTCCTGAGGCTCTCAATCAACATCAAGACCAATCCCCATGACACATGTTACTCTAAAGCTTATTAGACTTACAATCATCAAATAAAAGTTCCATGCATTCACTCTAAAGATCCTTGAAGAAATACCTCAGCACTATTTTGCGTTATCAAACTTCAAACTTCACCAAGATACATATAAGCAATAAATAGTATAAGGAAATAAAGCAATCAATTTTTTAGAAATTGAATTTAACTAGTCAAAGTTCTGGATCTACCACCTGGTCTTCTACACAGAGAAATAATAGCCAATGCAAAATAAACAATTCAAAATATAAGTTAGTTTCAGCTCAAGCTATATTTCACAAAGCCTAATTCCAGATTGCTCAGAAAAGAAAAGTACCTACTCAAACTATCAAATGTGATAAATCCCTAATCAAAGATCGATAGTAAAATCCTCAATTAATAGCCACAATTCACTGATCCCCTAGGTCAAAGATATCAAACTCACTCCCCAAACTGTCGACTAATAAATATGAGCCTACACAATGCTCCGTGAAATCAAAAGCAACAAATTAATTAAAAATTCGAGCACGAAAATTAAATGCATAGTACCTCGGAATTAAATGGCGAATCAATTCCATTTGCTACCGGAGAGAGGGAAACGGGCTTTGACTGGGCAAATCTATGAGAATTCCGTCTATCGAAGAATGGCGAATGGTCTCCATTCCCCGAACCATAGATCTCGAGTTCTTCATCGTCATCGTCGTGTACATCAAGCGCGATCTTATTCAAGTTCTCTTTCAAATTCGCAATCGAACTCCACATCTTCCAAAGCTCCCGCAATCAAATTTGTGCAGATGAAAAATAAGGGGGTTTTTGCAAATACCTGAGATTTTCTTTGATGAAATTTGGGCAAACAAATAAATTGTATGCGATAGCGTGACAAAGAAGATTAAATATTGAGCATTTAAATATTTGCAGGTAGATCTGGCAAAAAAGGAAAAAAGAGTAATTTTAGTTTGTATACTCTCTTTGCAAAATAGTAGTATTTCAGATCAAATTTGGCGGATTATGAAACGGGTACTTTTGTTTGGCCCGTTTCGACTTCCGACTCTTTTTTATGCAAGAGGTGGTGAAATTACAGTAACCGTCCTTTACTAGGATCTAGTATTAAAAAAGTTCTTAAATTATTTTTTAGAAATTTAGCATTTTTTATTTTTATTATATTGCATTAAATTTTTTTTTTAAAATTAAATAAATTAATTAACATTTAATTGCTTAATTCTTAATAAAAACATCATTTTTTTAATCAAGTGACATTTGATATATTATATTATATATTACTTGATGTGTTAATATAACATGATAAACATTATTATGTAACATTTAATTTTTTATCTTAGTATCACATCAACATTACATATTTGTATAATGATAAGTGTTATTTTGATTATTAGAAATAATTAATTGTTAATTGTAAGAGTTTATTTAATTATAAATAAAAATATAATTAAATATAATTAAAAATTAAAAATTCATTTAAATAATTTAATAATTTTTTTGAAATGTTATTATTATGTCAAGTTAAAAAAAAAATTCCGCCGTCACCGTCTTTCTTCTAATTATATAAAATGCGAAATTTGCCTTTAAAAGAAAATGTTGACTTTTAAATGTATTTGGGAATTGGTTAATGACGCCGTAAATGTAAAGAAAATTACATTCTCATTTCTCAAACAAAAAGCGGGCCTGTAATCAAAAGGAAAAATTATCACTATATAAATGATTACGTAATTTGATAGATGACCTTTTTGACATACATTATTGGGCCAGGGGCCCGAAGCTACAGTTCACCGGCCCAGGCTTCTATGTAGGCATGACGAATATCCAGCTCGCTATATATACTGAGTTTACGACCCGCATACTGGCGCGGTCACGCTGTCTAGGGTTTGAGCTCGTGTCGGCGAGTTGGCGTCTATTTCCTTCCCCTCATTAGTTTCATTGTCTCTCCTTCTCCCATTAATTTCTTCACGTCTACGTTTTTTTTTCTGTCAATTAAAAGTTTTGGATGGATGCGATGAAGATAACAGTGAAAAGGAAATCGATTGTAGAGTAGTTTCATAACTAATCTGCAAGATGAATCCTTGGTTTTCTGGTTCGTATTCACTGAGCATGCTTTTCTACCAGATTTTCGATTTATACCATTGTCGTCTGGCTGTCTAATTGCTTGCAAAAAAAGTTTTTAATTTTTCTGGTCTGAGAAACGAAGGACCTATGGATGGAGTGCGAAAACAATGCACTTTGATCCAAGTTTGCCTTCGGAAATCGATATTGGAACTGGATCATCCGAACCAATCTCCATTTTTCGGTTCGGTTTATCATTCGGGGTCTGATTTTCAAACAATTTTCTTTTACTAGGCCAAAATGGGAATTTTATTAGTTAAAATGGCGAAGGTCCCAGCAGGGAGGTGACTGCTCCATGGTTTGAGAGCTCTCTAACGATGAAACAAAAATGGCTTCGCAAATGAATTTAGCCGAATCGTAGGATGCCCGATTAGTCAATTTTTGCAGCGTCCGGAACCCTCGGCAACATCCAATTCTCTACGCTAGACTCTTTCTTCTGCCTTCTTTCTAATTTCTTTATAAAGTCTAATGCTTTTACCTTGAAATTTCCAAGAGGAGAGATCTTTAAATTGGAGCAATTGGAAAAGAGTTGAACTAGTTGGAGAATGAAGACGGTGCAGAAAAGCAACCGATAATAGACAATATAAAGGAAAACTAGCGATTTGGAAATTAAATTTACAACTAATTTCAATCATGCTCCAATGTAAGTTATCTGTCAACAAGTTGGAGTAGAATATTTCAGCTCCTAAGAAACTTGAAACATAACATCAACCGAAACTGCATTTATCTATGACTAAAAATGGATACAAAAACTGGAAAAAGAAAAGTAACTTTCTGATTCCCGTATTGTGAAGTTTGAAATAGCTGCTGTGATTGTATCCATGTAACTTTAGAAGAAAAGAGGCCTATACATGGGTCGTCACAACAGCGATATTGCCATCCCTCGCAACTTTGCAGTCCAATAAGTGGTCATTAAGGCCTCAGCAGGTAGGATGCCCATATCTCGTCAGCTGGAGGTGGTGGCTGAACCCAGTGGCCTGGCATGCGGCTGCGGTCAAGTTGTATAGAATTAGTCAATGCTCAATTGCTCTTATGCTTTATGATGCTAGCTAGCAGTCTAGTGTCATGCAAGTTTGTCTTTCTAATGCAGCATCAAATAGCACTATAGAAGTTTACCAAAAGGGCATATCGAGGAAAGGGACAGGCTAAACTGGTGGCGCTGAAATCGACGGTAATTATGATGCTAATAATGAAGTGGAAATGGGGTTCGATTTTTAATGCAGATATCCTTTTCTCTTTCATTTCTACATCCATCAATTCCAAGTGCAGAAAATTTAGTTGAAAAGCAATTGAAATAATGCATCAAGTATAGAAACATTCATGATTAATGAAGAGCATTGCAGAAAAAGCTTGCCAAAATTGACAGTAATTATGATGCTAATAATGAAGTGGAAATGGGGCTAGATTTTTAACGCCCATATCCTTTTCTCTTTCATTTCTACATCCATCAATTCCAAGTGCGGAAAATTTTGTTGAAATGCAATTGAAATAATGCATCAAGTATAGAAACATTAATGATTAATGAAGAGCATTGCAGAAAAAGCTTGCTATCCTACCTTCCTCCCGGTCTGATATAAGCATCCCATGTCCTTCTAACCTGCACGTGAAGATTCAATAAGAGGAGATTATTATGAAAATGCAGCTGAATACAGATACTTGTATATGCATCAGCCATCAAACTTACACCACTCATGGTCATGGAATAGACAAACTGCCTGCCAATACTGGCAACCATATACACTGCTTGAAAGAAAAACATAGTTCTATGCAGCAAGGAATCAAGACTTTGAAGAAAAGTAGATGAGCATACCTCAATAAGCGTGCCCATATCGGTATTGCTGCCATGATAATAGTGATAGAACTCAATTGGTAAATTGGCCAAAGAATCATATGCCCCTCCATAACCATGCCCTTCTGATGTATTTTTGCCAGATTCCTTATCAGTGACTGTACTAGAGTCCTTTTCATCCTCATTTGGTGTTATTTGGTCTTTGCTCTCCTTGTTTTCAAGTTGATCACTGATTGGATCTTTTGAGAGGGGTTTTTGATTCTGAGTGGCCTTCCTAGTTTCCTCGGCAGTTGCAATGGCATCTTTTGCAGCATCTGTATCAGCGGCTGCCAAAGCTTGTCTCTCCTCTTCCTCAACTGCAGCTCGAACTTTCTCAAGAAACTTGTCATCCTCCTCTGGGAGAAAATGACCTGCACAAGTTGGAAGCAATCTTAAAATTTCAGTAGAATCTAATACAGTATAATCTGTTGATATTATAGTTATATAAAAACACTCTAATGCAGACACAGCAGATCTCCTTATTAATTATGGAAAAGGCAAGGGTTTTTGCATGTGAAAGTCAATCTTTCTGTGCAGATTGATTTTGTGAAGGTCTTCATTTTCAATCTTAATCAGTAAGATATAAAGTGCATGAATCTGAACTCACACACTGACATGCACACATTTACCCACAGAAGAAATAACATGAGAGCATCTATTCTAAACCTGCATATCAATTGCTGGATTTTGCAGCTAAAGTCAATATTACAGAGTAGCAACTTCATATAGGTTGAACGAAGAACTAGAAAAAAAATACCAAATAATCCAATCACAAGTCACAATTGGTAATTCAATGTGATAACTTAAAGCCAGTATAATTTTGTTATAGTACCTTGTTTCTTCAATTTCTGGATCCTGATTGAGCGCAATTCTTGCAGCTTCTCCACAATCAAAACTAGCTCAAGCTTGACATATAAAACATACTATAAGAGTGGGCAAAAAGGAATGGAGAGAAAATAGCTCAAAGGGAAAAAAAAAGGAAGAAAGGAAACAAAAGAAACCCCTAAAATTAGCATTTTTCTAATGTTATCCTAGCAAGCAAAGACAAATTGAGAGATAATCTAGAAAAGGTATTGCACCAAAGTACAAAGGAGAAGAATCAAGGAGGCTTTTGCTGTCAAACTGCCATGCTGCTATCACATTGAAGACTAGACGCTAAAGAACAAACTAACAGCAAAGAGAAAAAGAAACTAATCATATTGATGGAGAGGAGCAAAGAGTGTCATATCATATCAGACATATTAGTACGTTTGAACACTTAGCATGCTTCTAAAGCTTTAGCTACTCACAGATGTAGTAAATATGGTACAAATGAAGCATTGTCTAAAACAGTTTGACAGGTCTAGAAAGTTATCAACAATTTCAAATCATAAATTAATTTAGTTTTCCATAAACAGAAAACAAAAGAAAGACAGAAAGTTGCCAGAACATTTTGCAAAGCCATTACCTCAGATTCTAGTCTCTTTTTCTCTTCCTTGGCTTTAAGCTTTGCTATTTCCTTCATCTTGTCCACCTGCAAATCAATTTACCTCAGTCATTACTAAATAAAAACCAGTTTACAACAATGAAAAAAAGAAAGAGTTTGGGGTTCTTCGCATCTAATGGAAAAATCAATGAAAATCATTGGTAGTCTTGCAGCAAAAACCCCAGCCTGAAACACAAAAATCTCAGTACCTTGCGGCTTGCAATGTCCTTGGCAATCTCCCTAGCTCTCCACTCATCAGCTTCTCTATCAGCTTGGTCAAATCGCTCACGCTCCTAGCATTGATAACAACAAGAAAGAAATTAGCCATTTCCAACACAGGCCAAGAGCAAAAAGCAGCGTGAGGAGAAACCTTACTACGAGAATCGAAGCAAAACAACCTTTGCTAGCATTTCTGCAATTCGTTTCCGCTTTCTTTTCCTCCAAAGCTTATTCCTTTTAGACTTGTTGATTTTATTCGCCAGTCTGGCCGCTGCTGATTTCTCCTCCCACGGGCTTGCTTCGTCCACAACATATCTAAAGGGCTCCAACTGAGCTCTAAGCTTTGACATCAAAGAATTTGCCGCTTCCATAGAAATTGATTCTTGAGTATCCAAATCAATCCTCCTATCTTCTAGATACTTCAAAAACTCAGAAACAGAAGCGTCAGTTGACCCATTTTTTATCATCGTCAGTATCTCCAGCTCCTTCTGCCTATAGAACCATCGATTTTTATCACAGTTACAGAAATTGAAAAGCATACTATTAATACACCCTAAAACCAGAACCAGCGTACATTGCATTGGCAAGATTGAGAGTATCTTGCAATTCTCTAAGCCGATCACGCACATTTCTGGTCTCCCAAAATGTACTCGAATTTGGTGGTGCCGGCGGTAACATTGGGAACCAAGGCGGAGGCGGTGCTGGTTGAAAGTGGAACGGATTCATTGCTACAATGATTTAACAATTAATTCAGTAGGAAAATAAAAGAAATTAAAAAATTGAATCAGTTTTTTAATAAAGATCCTAGACGTCTTAACAGGATAAACTAGAAATTTTCTTCAAACAGAAAGGAAATCAACTGACATAATAAATTATGGACTTTGTGAAGTATTGAAAAGACTAAAACCGAAAGAATTTCGTACGTTTCTTAGTATAGTCAGCTTCCAAACCCTAGCGGATTGAAGTACTGGACATCGAAATTTTGGGACGATAGAATTAAAACGATTGGAAAATAAAAACAAGGTCTAAATATATTAACGTGATAACGTCAATCAAAGTGTCAGGATGGCCGAGTGGTCTAAGGCGCCAGACTCAAGTTCTGGTCTTCGAAAGAGGGCGTGGGTTCAAATCCCACTTCTGACAATTTTATCGTGTTACCCTTCCACCCTATGAAACAAGTAGTGGGCCACTAACATTGGCCCTTGCCAACCAAAGACCCCTCCACCTATGAAACAAGTTGTTGCCGCTATCATCATTGGGCCTTGCTAATCAGAGAATTCTTTCTTTTGTCCCTTCCACTTATGAAACACTTTAAGTTGTATTGGGCCTTGCTAGTCAGAGAATTCTTTCTTTTTTCCCTTCCACTTATGAAGCAAGCTGTGGGCTATGAACATTGGGCCTTGCCAATCAAAGTTGAGTTAGCCTAAGCATGGACCACCCTTCCACCGATAAAACAAGTTGTGGGCCACTAACATTGGACCTTGCCAACCAAAGTTCAGCCAGCTAAACATTGGTTTGAGTGTCATGAAACAAGTTGTGGGCCATTAACATTGGGCCTTGCGAACCAAAGTTGAGCCTGCTTAAGCATCAATCAAAAATCTGTCAGATGATTGATAATCAACCAAAGAATAAAAAATCAGCAAGACGACCAAACGTCTAAGTGCTATGAAACAAGTTGTGGGCCACTAACATTAGACCTTGCCAACCAAAATTGAACCAGTCTAAGCATCAACTAGAAAATCAGTGAGTTGACCGATAATTGATCAGAAAATCAGTAATATGACTAGTTGAGATAAAAATATAATTGAACTGTTTAGAAAACATGTTATAAAAATTTAGTAACTTTAGATGAACTTTGGTGTTTTTAGAACGAACAAGGCAATAACCAAATGATTAGGAGCTCGGGATATAAGTTCTCAATCATTTGTCTTGCTTGTCATAAGTCAAATTCGGAAACTTATAATCCAAAATTGAGCTCTAGCAAAAATGGAGCACAAGTATCTTTTCCCTGTTGAGTTTGTCACATGACAATTATAACAAGAACAGCAATGAGGGTGACACATTGAGAGGCATTGTTTCTAGTTGGTGATAGAAAATTAAGATTCGTTCAGATTGATTAAATTGATCGTATTTATTATGAATAATTTTACATATACGTAGACACTCAATTGTCGTCTGCTTTGCTAATCTGCAAGATTCCTAATGCAAGAATCACAGACAAAATATGGCATAAACCGTCAGGTTGCAAGGAGTCGTAAGCCTTGCCAAGTTTTCAGTGGTAAGAAGAACGACATATGGCCGACATTTCCAACATGCAAGGTATATCAATGTTTTTGGTCCCCCCTATCCAAGTTGCTTTGTGTAACCTTTGCTTGTTTCGTTGGGAAATGTGTAAAGAGGAACGGTTTTTGTTCATAAGATTGCCATCTCTCACTAGCTTGATGACTCTTGTTATATATCTTGTCCAAGATCTCAACCAAAAGCATAAAGTTGCTTTTGACCACTAATGTCTGATGGTAATTATGCACCAAAGATTGTTCAATACATCCAAATTTCCATCATATAAGATTATAAAAAAGGAGAATGGACTGGAAATCTTTGTCAAAACCACCTATAGAATGTGTAAGAAAATGGGCATGTCCTTATCCGAAGGTATGAAAGAATGAAGAATTCTTTGCCCAAAGCTACCTGATGAATACTAACACTTAGCATGTCCTTATTCTAAGGTATCAAATTTCTTGACATTGCCTTCAATGGTGGAGAATCATCTATCTATCTATCAAGACCCATCCTCATTTGTTAAGAGCTGGTCTTTTGTTTGTGTGTCAAAGCGCAGGGATGGAAACCGGAAAGTCTGGCAGTGAAGACAAGAAAGAAGCAGCAAGGGCTTGGTCCCCACTTTGATATGGTAGATTTCTTCCAAGATATGGAGAAGCTCCAAGAAGAGAACAAAGGAGGAAAACGAGAAGCAGAAAGGTGATAGCATTGACTATGGAATTTTCTCCTAACATAGCTTATCCATGTCCCCCTTCCTGTCTTGCTTGTTGCATGCAAGCAACACTCAAAACCTTCTCTCTCTCTCGCTCTCTGTACCAATAATTGCGTGAGGAATTGGCAACTGCATTGACACTAACCAACATTCACACAAGAATCGACGTGGGCCAATGAGAACAAAAGGGGTTGCAAAACGAGTTATGTTCAAGAGCAAATTTCCATATGAATTTTTTAAATACGTTGTGCTCTGTTTCAGGCAACTTCACCCCATGTTCAGATTAATGCTCTGTTTCTTTCAAGTTTGTTTTTGGGCAATATCTTATCAACTATAGGTAAAAGGTAACCATTGGAATATTGGGAACTTCAGGGGTGGTCCCCTCAGTGCTATATCATGTAAAACCTTAGGCAAGACAAATTCATCTTTGCTTGCTCCATGGCCCCTAAAACGAAAAAGATGAAAAGAAAAGGTACAAGCTGCCTTTTGTTTTATTGTTTTTAACTTCGAACTTCTCAAACTGAGGCAGATATTTTCACCATTATCCTTGATACTACTAGATTATTTGAAGCCACGATGAGAATTGCAAAGGTTTGGGAATAGAAAGGCTATAATTTACTGCACATTCTAATCATGCAATGCAATCCAGATAGGGCCATTCAAAAGTTCAATTCCAAACTTCCATGGAGTCCCACCCTGCTGCTTAGAATATTATGCGAGAGTCGGTACCATGTCTCCCAAAAGCACAAACCAGAAGGTCTCACACGCACTAGAGCAAAGCTGAATCTTGCCCACAAAAATAATAACAAAAAGAGAAAAATAAACACCTTGGGAGGGCCCTTCGGATTCTTTATATACCAACCAAAATCCTGCTATTTTATAGGCATGATTCACGGTGAAGGAAAGACTCCCCTTTCCGTCCCTTTGTCATGGTTGTAAAGCATTGGCCTTGCAGAGCATATTAACCAGAAATTTTAAACATTGACTCCTGTAAGTCAGTGATTCTGCGGATGAAACCTTGTAACAATAGTCTATTATATTATAAAAGCTCTGGCTTAAAGTTTTCATTTACATTCGGGCTGAGAAGCTAGGAAGAGGGCAAGGAAAAGAGCTCAGAATGGGAAATCCATGTCCTTGCAAGATTGACAAAGACAAAAACTTTCTGATATTTAGTTTAATCCTTACAATATGAGGAGACATACTGTGTCTATTAGTTTAAAAACTTCTCTCTTGTTTAAAAGATAGATATGTATAAACATCTAACAGGAAGGGAGACAGATAAATGAGACAAATAACAAGTTGAAGCTTGATCAGCCGCCATGTATTTCTAGAAGTACTCTTCTTTCTTCAACTGTTATTGTTTCCTCATCTGAGCACGTATCATTTTTCTGAAAATGAATGAATACAAAACATAAGAAACTGTGAAGATTTAAGTTTAGGAATTATATGCCTAGATAAAAGAAATCTTGAAAATACCTATCGATCTTTTGCAGTGGAGAACAGCCTCATAAATTGAGTTCTCAAGATGACATGAATCACCCATTGAACAAGCTGTACTCTGTTGTGGAGATGCTTGTGGTGAACTGTTCCAGCTCTTAACTTTCCATGTTCTCCTGTCAATATCATCAACCCTGGTACTTGTTCTCAAGCACCCTCCCTCATGGTAGGAAGGTCTGAGATGTCCAAAAAGATTTCTCAAGATTTGCCATGTTGATTTTCTCCACCTTCTAAGGAACCTGCAATTAATCCTCACTGTTGGAATTTCAGTTCTTGAAGAAAACGATGAACTGGGCACTGTTTGGATGGAATCCAAGGTATTGCAGGACTCTCTCTTTGAAGGATCAATATAAATGGGTCTGATGTAGCCGTTGGTGAAAATCTCATCAGCATGAACAAAAGCTGCAGGACTTTGAGCAATAGCATCAAAGTTGAAGTTCTGGTCTGTCAGAAATCTATTTGACTCTACCATCTCATCATCCAATTCTTCTGGAGTACCTCCATAATATACTCCAGGGGACTCACTGAGGCCATCTAAGGAGGGTTTATGGTCAGATAACCAACCATAGGAAAAACTCTCAATGGCTAGAGGTTGTAAGGTTTCCATTAGCAACTAATAACGTGAGTGAATAATGAAGGATTAAAAACTTATATACTCTTACAGGGGCAAAATGACATAATTGGTAGTGTACAGTGACCACAAGACCCTGGTGACCACAAGGGCATTCATTGTCTATTCTGTCAAAAACAAGCAGGAGACCAATGGGCCAAGATAATCTGGGAACCGGAGAGACAGTAGGTTTTATGTTTAACTTCGTTTTCTTATATAGCCTATCTGTCATCACAAAATGATCTGTTTGATTGCCAACAGTCAGGAAAACCTGTCAGGAATTGCTTCCATTGCTTTCATTTTTTTGCTAGGGAGATAAAATTAGCAATTTTTGTTTCTCTAACACATTGAAAATTCAATATCAAACAGAGATGGCAAAGAGATTCCTTGCAAATTCACAATAAAAAGACTGAAAGAAGAAAATACCAGTTGCCTATTGCAGCTCAATGTGTCTGGTCACCGTTCTTATTTTAAGTAACTTTTAGAACATGAAATGGAAAGAACAAGCAACTGATGAGTACCATGCCTATGATGACAAAATCCCAACTTTTAAATGGTGTCACAAAAGATCCTCAAATTTTATGATGGTCTTTTAAATTTCATATTACCATATGTATGAATATATAACGAATTTGGATACACTCTTTAAAACTACATTCAAGATATTGTTGACAAATTTCAATATACTGTTTAGATAGTATATCAAAAAAGCCAATTTAACAAGAATTTCTTGAACATAGCTATACAGCTAATGGTGGAATAAAGTCAGCCACAGACGGCATAAAACCATTACTTAATATGTTTTAATACTGATGGTTGATATTTTCGCTGTACAATCATGTCCTGTCTGAAAGAAATGGAGCCCATGAAACAAACAAGAAAAACAAAGACACTTCTAGACATACAATTTTGATCAACAAATAGCTAACACCGTTGGCAGACCAAGCAAGGTTGTGCCAGGATTCTAATGCCAAAGTATGTGTGCTTGTAAACATGCATGATATCTTAAATGAGAAAATGAGGAACTAGTTTTCAGATAAAAAACAGGAATAGAAAATGCATTCATTAATAGACCAGATTGCAATGCTTATGAGTAGCGAAAGGTAGGATTTTCAGAAACCTAAAAAAAAAAGACACAAAAAAGATCTCAGTATAATTACAAGAAAAAGAAAAAATAAATGCCTTCCAAAATACGGTCATATAAATGTTAAACAGTATGTTTGAGGGAGGTATGTATTACTTTTTTTAACCAATATCCTACTATAAAATCTAAAGCACCAAAATTTTTTGGGGGGTACAAGAGGGAGCCTACTGAAGCATCTCTACCAAAACCCTACCGTAGCCCTAATGCTTGATGTAACCTGGAATGTTAAAAAATCAAATATTTTAAAAGGAGGAAAGAGAACTATTGGACAGGGGCCTTCTAACTGTTCGGACTAGAAATGGATGCTAAAACGTTATCCGAGACGTAAGTTGAATAATCAAAATGTAACTAACACAAAAGTCAATGGTCCCCTCATTTCCTCTCAAAACTGAACCAACTTTCCAGATGCATTCCACATGTGAATGTATGTACAATTTTAAGCCAACAAATTCCAAACCCTGTTAAGTGATAGGCCACAGCTAAAAAGGGCGAGTGGTCGGAACCTACTTATGTAAAATGAAGGTTGTAATGCTAAGAAGTCCAAAATCCTAGAATCTCCGTCTAGATTATTTGATTTGTTATTCAAACACATATGGAGCACAAATGATGTGCTCAAGCAGTAAAACATGCACAGATGGATGTCTAAGCATATTCCCAATTATGCACCATATCACAAATTGGAGAACATTCTTATGAATTTTACAAAAGACCAAGGGTGCTTCAATTATTTGCATTTTTTCCCTTCTCTTGTTTTCAGTTCTAAACTTGGCAAAAGGAAAGAGGGACTACAAAAGCATTCCTCCTGAAAGTATCATTTTATGGTTGATCTTCTGGTGAATGGTAGCTTATGTGAACCTTTTTAATACACTTAGTCAAGCTTTTTAATGTGTCAATATGGGAATAAAATTCATGTGTAGTTGATGAACTCTACATCTTCTAATAAATGGTAGTCTATTTAAAGAAAGACAGATATACTTGTTCAAACTCAGACAAGCAAAGTCACCATAAGACTTGCTCAAGAGTTCAGCTGGTCCACTTCTATATGGCTTTTTAAATGAAGGCAGGCAATGGGTTGATTTGAAACACCAACCTGCTCAAAGGTGAAGGCCTAAAAACACTTTTCTCGACAAAAGATATTCATGACAGATCAAAAAACAAAACAAGAAGGGAGCATTACTTAACACTATTCAATGATTCCAACGAGACAAAGAATATGAAGATGCAAAATATAAAAATAAATGGACAAAATATAAGTAAAAGTCATTGCCACTTGAAAAAGAATGTTTAGATTGGTTAGAAAAGAAGCAAATCAAATGCAAAACAAAAAGATTCCTTCGCAGAAGAAATATACTAGTAGCTACTTTCCAGTTATTGAAGTTGAACTACATTGTAAAACAAGATCTTGAGATCAGAAAAAACTAATAAAATTGCAAACAAAAAGATAAGGAGGGTTGGAATATATTTAAAATATATAGATTATAGTATTAACCCAGAATTCAAAATACAGGGTTTTTCCAGTTATATCTTGTGATAATCATAGCCAACGTAATCTAAAATGACATTGATAAAAAAAATATATATAACCTTGCAGAAGGCTGATGACGCTAAGGAATCGTCAACTACAGGTACTCACTTGAGATTATTCAAAAAGAGAAAATATAATATACTTGAAAAATAAAAACTGGGTCTTACTGTGTTTTCCAGGATAGTGAAGTTGTGACGCTGAAACAGAGGAAGTGGCCATTGTTGCAGTTACTTGTTGCAGTTGCAGGTGCAACTTCCGCCAACTGCAACGGTCACTGTGAGCTCTCCCCAGATATTGTTCTTATTTTTTTTCCCATCTGGGGATTTCTTTCAGTTGTATTTGAATGGGATCATCCTTCATCGTTGGTAGAGATCAGGATTGGGGATTAATTAAGGATGGATCAGGGATGCGAAGGTTGCCTTTGCCCAATTATTGGATTTTTAGTTTTGCTAAGGTTCGATTTTTCTATATATTTTTCAGACTACTAAATACTACTTAATTGTTTTTTGTTTTTTACACTTACACCCCCAAAATATATACATATATATATATATATATAAGAAGATACTCTTTGTTATTTTAGATGTCAAATATTAGTAGCTCGATTTTAATAAGATGTATAATTACAAAATGAAAGCCCTTAACACAGTAAAACATTTAAAATCAAAACATGAATAAAAAATGTAAAATATAGCACCCAAGTTTTATATTCAAGCCTCGCATTGAGTTATGCTAGTGTTGATTATGGTATGGGACTTGGAGGGAATGTCTTAAATAAGCTTAAGTGATTACATAAATCATGAGTTTGAACCATAAACACTTTTCTGTATTTGTCTACATTGCTATATAATTAAAAATCATTCCAGGAAAAAGAGTCCTGTCTCTTTCATGCTTCACAGGAAGGCTCTGTGGAAGCCGAGCACGACAGTTTCAAGAAGGTCCTGGTCGTTCGCAGGCCAGTTCCAGGGAAGATGATGAGAGTGAAGATATTGGGGAAGCTGAAGGTGATGATGACTCATCGAAATCGTTGGGTATAGATGCTACGGTCATTGTCTTCTGGTTCAATGTACAATGCGCCGATATCTGAGCTAGCTTGGATATCAACGTCGGCCGTATAAATCACCGAAATCATCATTCACGGAATCCATTTTTTCTTTCTTTTGCTGGGTGCAAAACTACTCTAACGTTACAGTCATAGATTAGATATAATTTGGTTACGTTACACTCATTTTTTGAGGGATTAAGGGAAATGACAAAGGGACAAATGGAAATGCAGATAGCTGAAAAACCCTGTATCAGAATCTAGAACACTGCAGAAGCCATTACCAGAATTGGACAGGCTGTTGAACTTCGGCTTTGGGTGCAAGGCTAGCGACTCTTGTTTTGCGCTTTTGAGCCTATGGTGGTTGTGCAAACGTCGGGTTGTAGCCCAATTTATGATGATTATTGGCCCATTCATGATCTCAATTTGGGCTCCTTCTGGCCCTTTCAACTTCCTGGATTTAGGGTTTTCTTTTTTTGCTCCCCTCTCAAGATATCTCATTGAGAGATAAAACCAACTGAATCTTAATGAGACGTTTGGTATCTTGAATGTTGATAATGTAATGACCTAAAACCCCATTTTTAGATTTTAGTTAATGGGGATAAACAGGTAAGATGCGCAGAACTAGGTCATCAAGCTAGGCTACCAGTTGGTTCAATACCTTGGGGGACAAGACTCGCTGCAACAGCTTGAATCCCAAGATTAAACTCTTTGCTCCATTTTGCACTTGAATCCCAAGTTACTAGATGATAAAGAGCATGTACGATACTTTTATGGAGGAATGAAGTAAAAAAAACAAAAACAGAATATGCACTGTGATCATGGCAAACAAAAAATTGCCCAGATTGGATCTAAACTCTGAATGATGGATATGCACTTGCATTTTGGCTTTGTATCATTTAATCAGATTGATATGTTTAGGAAACAAAAGAAAAAACATAATACTAGTACTTAACAAAACGGTGAAAGATGACATTCAGAAGCAATGTAACAGAAAATGAAGTCTGACCTGAGGTTGGTCAATTCATCCGACAAACTATTCCATGGCCGCAACAGCAGCAGCAGCAGCAAGAGGCAGATTAGGAAGGGAAATTGAGGAGTATAAAACCATGCCATGAACTTGGCAAAACCCTTTTTCTCTTTTTAAAGGAATAAGAAGACTGAAGTGCATTGTAGTTTTTCTTCTTTTTTTTTTTAAATTTGATTTGTAAATAACATAAAATCAGAAAGCTTTACCTATTTTTCTAAACAAAGCACCATCAAAAACATTAAATTCGCAAAATTTTCCCCTATTTTAACCCACCTGATGTTTACTCAAAGAAAGTGGAAGTATTTTGGCCATCAAAATTTAGAATCCAGGCAAAACTAAGAGACGTGCTACACCTTGTGGGCGGTCTGCAATTTTCTAAAGCAAAGAAAGCCTGTTCTTTCTAATTGTTCCATCTTCCTGCACATAGAAGTCAAATAGTAAATCATTTTTGATTGGACGTGGCCGAGGAACTTGTAGAAGTCAGATACAGAGAGAAAGATAATTGATTTGATACAATGTCAATTGAAACAAGCCCTACACATTCCTCAAGTTTGCACTCAAGACAGTAAATGAGCTGATCGTAATCAAGCACCCTATGCTGCTCACACTTGTTTATCGAGCAACTTGACTTGAGCTTAAAACTTGAGCTCAGATAAAGTTATTTAATTTTAGACTTCCTTTGTTTTTTTTAAAAAGAGAAAATTAAATGGCAAAAAAAAATATTATTTTAAAGAAAATAAGCTTCCGATAACAGTTTATCTTGAATTTGTGCACAAAACTTACAATTTTATATAATAAAGCAAAATAAAACTCCAAATCTTCATTTAGAATACCATTAAAGAATTTGAAAGTTGAAAAACAAATATACCTAAGACTGAGAGTAAAGAACACAAAAGCATACTGGCCAACAATAAGAAAAGGCTTTTTCAGATCATTTAGTCACCTTGAACAAGCTTACCAACAAGTTCATGGAACTATGTTAAACATGCTGATTAATAAATTAATTAATTTTATTAATGAGTCATAAATTATTTATGATTCAAGTAAGATGCAAAGACAACGTACCACCATCACAAATATTTGATTGAAAAAAAAAACTCAAAGGGGTTGTACTAGCTCTGACGATATTTCAATAAAATCATCAACCTCAATACCTGCATAATCAGAAAAGTTAGACTTCAATAGTTGGGAAAAGTGTCAATCAAACAAATTATATCAAAGCGCCATTTTTCCTACAAAAGACAATAACTTAACAGCACCAGCAGACTGATAATAAACTGAGTGTATACCAGGGTGAATTTTCTTTTTAGTAAAAAAGAAAGCGTCCCACAAAGCTCTCTCTTTGTTTGTTTCAAATGCAGCATCATCCACTTAATAAGATTATATCAAAACACCATGAGAAAAGATTCTAGACTTTACAAGTGATGCATCTCTATAATCCATCAAATAACATGGCAATTTTTCATATCTCAATATCCAACAAGAAACTGACATTCTAAACCAATCAGAAATCTTACCAGACTGAAAGAACAGCATATTTAATTTTCAGTCAAAAATTTTAATACAGAATTCACTATCAAACAAATAGGTAAGAGCTAAATGCTCAAATATCAAGTGTAAGCTACTGGGTACTTCTTTAATACCAAAGGGAGTAATAGTACCTCCACATCAGCACCCACATCCTTTCCATGGGCAATTCTAGTTGGACGAGAATATGCTTCTAAACATATGGGGAAAAGATTGCCTTTCGACAAGGCTTCCATCTGCATTCATTTATTTTTATATGCTATCATATATGATTTGAGGATAAGGGAGGGGGGGGGGGGGGGGGGTGGAGATAGTCATCTTTTATCTAACATTGCCAAAAAAAAAAAAAACCTCCTGAAACCAAAACATTCAGCAGCTCCCAAGCAAAGAAAGAAAAAAAATACAAAAATACATGAGACACAAGCATAAAACATTCATATTAGAAAATATCCATCACTGCAGACATTCATCCTCCAAGATGTCTTAAATTCACCAACAGGGTAGCCCATCTTCTATATAGAAAGCAAACTTTTTATCATAAACATATCCACCATGTCATACACAAATATATAAAGTGAGAATAGCCTGCAGCAAGGATGTCAAGAATATCATTGCCTAACAGGCCTTTCGCATCCACTAACAAATGTCCTCATAATCGAGGCAATCCCTCTATGGTATTGACATGAACATTTCTTGGGTGTTCATCAGTCAGTTAATTCACCAAGATGGCAAGATATACTTTCTATTATGGCCAAACACACAGTGTCAGTCATGTGTTAAGGACCATCACTACGGAGATTCCATTTCTGACAAAACTCTCATGAATTGATATAGCCATTGTTGACAGACATAAGAAATGAATACCTAAGACGAACAGCACCTGAGTGCACTTACTTTACATGCTGTTTTAGCACCAAGTCAAGGCATGTTTGCACACTCTGCAAGGACGGAACAAAGTACTTCAGGACTTATTCCCTTATCAACCTTCAGCCAGAAATACAGCCTACTTGCATAAAATTTGCCGATCGCACTGATAATATTCATAACCTCCACATAGCAAGGAATATAACACAATCCCAGGGAGCAACAAATAGCCTGACTCAATATCATCCCTACATAGGAATGCCACATATACCAAGATGTTAGATTTACATATTGGCAACATTATACCTTAATGGATAATAGGTATGCCACATACCCACAACATTACACTATTCTCAACTGACACCATTGTATCTTAATGTACAATCGAAATGTCAAATTAACACATCAAGCTATGTATTCACATATGCACAATTGCATCTTTATTGTATAATAGGAATGTCATACCAAATATATTAAATATCTATTTTACATCATTACACCTTAATGTATAATAGAAATGTTAACATGCCAAACACCATAGAGTATAATAGGAATGCCACATATACCAAGATGTTAGATTTATATATTGGCATCATTATACCTTAATGTATAATAAGAATGCCACATGCCCACATTATTATACCATTATTAATTAACATCATTGTACCTTAATGTACAATCGGAATGCCAAATTAACACATCAAGCTATGTGTTCACATATGCACCATTGTGCTTTTATTACACAATAGGAATGCCATTTCAAATATATTTAATGTCTATTTTGTACTATTATACCTTAATATATAGTAGGAATGCCACATGCCAATTGTCATAAAGTATTATAGGAATGTCACATACACTAAGATGTTAGATTTATATATTGGCACCATTATACCTTAATGTATAATAGGAATACCACATGCCTACACTATTATACCATTATTAATTGACATCTTTATACCTTAATATACAATCGAAATATCAAATTAACACATCAAGTTATATGTTCACATATGCACCATTGTACCTTTGTCATGCCAAATATATTAAATATCTATTTT